AATAATAATAATAATAATAATAATAATAATAATAATAATAATAATAATAATACTCACAATTGGACCATCTCCCCTTTCCAAGTATGGTTGGTGGTTTATATGAACAATTGCAGGTAGCAAATACTGAAAAAGAAGAGAAACATATTTCAGTTGTGACAGCTAATTAAGGTGATAACTAACTAGTTGTTTTAAATCACTGTACATCCATTCCTATATTCTCAAGAAATCAGCAAGACGACATTAGAAGTTAAACATAAAATTAAACAAGATGTGGAGCAAGCATGGCAATAGTAAGCATACAATTTCAATTAAAAATTCAGTTTATAGCTTCCTCCAGTTTAAGTCTCAGAGGGATATACTAAAAACAGAGTAGAAAGAGTAATAATGCACTAGTGTCCCAACTGGATAATTTTAAAGCTCCTTGTTACTGAAGAAGCTGCACTGGTTATACGTGATCATGTAAACTTGTCCATTTATTTATTAGAAATAATCACTTAATGACTACAATTAGGACTAAAGTCTTGCTTGCTGAGTGAAGCAGAAGTTAAGCAAGACACTGTGACTTCACTCAATGACCGTGATCCCAGCAGTCCCCATTGTGGTCATAAAGTTGTCTCATGGGTCATTCAGCGAATGGAATCCCTTTCCATGACTATGGAAGTGCAGATTGGGGTGGGTGGGTTAGTTTAGTGCCTGTAGCAGATGCAGATTTTAAAATCCTTTTTCCCACCTCCGTGGGGCTCTCCATGGAGGCAAAAAGGGTTGTTTTGGGGTTCTGTGTATGTTTGAAGTTTAGCTGCGGAGGTTCAAGCAGACATAGGAGTTTGGGGTTTTTCCCAACCTCTGCAGAAAACTTTTGAGGGGGATGAAAAGAAACAGGCCCCAGTCTCCGTGTCTGCTTGGAGCTTGGCTGTTGAAATCCAAGTATGCAGATCCCCATATCCTTGTCTCACTAAAACTCTTTGCACGGGGCAAGGAGAGGAAGACTCCCAAGCTCCATGCTTGCTTGGATTTCAGATGCAAAGATTCAAGCAGGTACTAAAACAGGGAGCTCTTTCAGCCAGTCCCCAGACACGAGAGCAGACAGCAGCTGCAGCTTGCAACGTTCTCTGCTCGCTCCCCATTGATCTTCTGGGGAAGCTGACAAAGATTGCAAATGTCCATCACTTGATCACAGAACACTGGCAACCGATGCAAACAGACTGCCAAAGCACCCATTGTGATCATATGACTGCAGGTGGTGGGCATGGTGTAACATTTTGTAATGTCCAAAAGTGCTTTGTAGGCCATAAAGCACCCTTTCTAACATTGTCTTGATTTTGAATTGTCATTAAGTGAACATTACCTGAATATTCAGGGAGATGGTATCTGATCCTTCAGCCCAAAGAAATAAAAACAAACTAAAAGGATTGATAGGATTTGAGCTGCTACTATGGCTAATAGTGTAGCAATTATGATGAATGACATGAGCCACGTAAATATCCTCCTTATGGTACCTTTTCCCCCCCAATTCATCCACTATCATCATACACCAAAAGATCATGTATTCATGAGAAATGAATGAGTGCTGTCTCCATCACTAGAAATGCATGTGATGATACATTTCATATGCACAACATTCCCAAGACTAGCTTCTCCCATGTATCTTTCAATGGTCTAAAAGTGATTTACTACTAAAAAAAGTATGTAAATAAATAAATTTTATTATATGAAAATACAAGCAGATGCAAGCCTTCATATTTGTTTTTTTTATAGATATAACCTATTTTTTTAATAAAAATTAAAATATAAAACTCTAGATAAATGAATGCAAACTATTTTCATATTAAGCCTTGATTCCCTTTGGGATTGATAATGGTTTTTTTGTGCTCTATCTTGCACTGCACTTTTCAGTTTAACTTTTAGTGGCTCAGCTCTGTATCTGTGTAATTTCTGTTCCAATCAGTACTTTTCAGACTGCATTTAGTAGATGCAGATTTTAAAATCCTTTTTCCCACCTCCATGGGGCCACTAAGACAGTACAAATTATAAAAATCATATGATTGTCATGCAAGTTATTAATTGCAAGTAGCAGAATAACTTAGATAAAAATTACTTTTGAAACTAAGTTAAATAAAATAGTAGAAACATACATAGCCAATGAAATTTATACCTGGTTGTTGTGGTTTTTTTAGAAAAACTGGCTTGCTTATAGTAATAATCTAAATGTAGGCTGTACTTGATGAGAGAAACTAGCTATCTCATTCTCTCTTATTTTGTTGCTGGTGCCCCAGGGGATTCATTTGAAAAACAATCAACAACTTAGCTTTTCTAGGAGATATTTTTCTAGGAATTATTTTTCCTATCCAAATGCTTTCCTGTGAAGATTTTTTATAAATATTTTTAGAAATCACACTTTTGGCAAAGTTCTGAAAACTGGCTGGCTAGTAGTAGGTATCTACTATCACCCCACCTAGTGATACAGCCCTGGGATGCAAACTACAGAGCCAACAACTGACCACAAATTTCCATTGTTTCCTAGAGTTGGAACCCCAAATGACTAAAACTCCAAAATGTACTGGAAGCCCAAACAAAAGCCCTTGTTCCAAACTTTAAAAAATTATCTTTTTCATTTTGTTCATGAATTAATTACATTACCTGAATAAAATACAATAAAAATACTTTTACAGATCCATAGACAAAAGAAAATTTAAAGAAACTGAAAAATACATACTGCCAATGTTTTCCCAGAGCCCGTCTGTGCAATGCCCACCATATCACGCCCACTAAGGGCCAAGGGAAAGCCCTGACACTGAATTGGAGTTGGTTCAGTAAAATGCTGGTCGATCAAGACATCCATTACATATTCTAAAAAATTAACAGATAAAAATACACAAATGAATTTATATTGCAAATGCTATGTAAGTAAATCTTGTACTGAAATTAATTTAGATTATAGCATTAATTTCAAAAACTATTTTCCCAAATCTCTATGTCATTAAGCTCAATTTTCCAGAACTAAATACATCCAGACAAATAATGCTATTTAACATGCCCACCCATCCTCCCACGCTGTTGTTTTAGGGGTAACAGAATACTCACGTGGAAAGTTACACTGATGAAAGGCAAATACTGGCTTGGGGCAACCATCTGACCCTCTTATAGTAATCTCTTTCTTTCTTCTCAACTCCTCAACTTCATACTATTTAGAGTGAAAATTGCAAGTAAAGTGTGAAAAACAGAAATTGTAGTGTTCTTTTATTATTATTAGCAATCACTGAATATGAATTTTCATTCCTTTTACTTCAAGTAATCACCATCTCTTTGTATTCTCCATAAAGAATCTAAAGTATTGTTCTAGCAATTCTTTTGACAATTACTCTCCTGTTATTGACTTCATTTTCAGAAGCTTATCAAAATGTATAATGAAATACAGGTTGGAATTAAAAAAAGAAAATATTCAAAACATTCTCCATTTCATGCATTTATTCAATGTAACTTCTAGCAATATAACCTTTATATGCAGATGAACATGTACACACATTACTCTGTTTTTCCAAAAGTGCTTTTTCTGGACTTTGTTTTTTCTTTGAAGATGTTTCACTTCTCATCCAAGAAGCTTCTTCACGTCATCACAGATGAGAAGTGAAATGACTTCAAAGAAAAAATAGAAAGTCCAGTTGCCTCTTGAAAAAGCACCTTTCGGACAACCATGACCTGGATGACTGAGAAGTCTATGTCTCCATAGACATTATTCTGTTTTCTTTCAAATTTACCATCCAAAGGATTTTAAGTAATTCTACAACAAAAACTTTAAACAAGCTAGGTATATTTCATATACTCTTTAACATGAAAAGTGAACTACGATTTCCAAAGTAATAAACTAATAAAACATATCAGTTAACAAATAAAGATGTACTATTTTGACCAGTGGTGGGATTCAATTTTTTTTACTACTGGTTCTGTGGGCATGGCTTGGTGGGCATGGCAGGGGAAGGATACTGTAAAATCTCCAGTAAGAGGTGGTATTTGCTGGTTCTCCAAACTACTCAAAATTTCCGCTACCAGTTCTCCAGAACTGGTCAGAACCTGCTGAATCCCACCTCTGGTTTTGACCTGTAATAAATTAGTAGAGCAAATTGTTTTCTCTGCAGATGCGTTCACTGAAGATGATGCATCTGATTAGAAATATTTTTATTTATATAGTTGGGTAAACATTCTGAAATGGAAAAAATGAATCCAAAATTTAATGTAAGTGTCCCAACTCAAAATGGCCTTTTTCCAACTACACCTATGTATTTTGAACTTGGAATATTTCTCCTTTGGCCAAAGCAACACTACAAACTATCCTGCAAGTTAGGAAATAGCAGTTAGGAAAAAAGAAAGACAGTTGGAGATTCAGTTAAAAAAAATCACTCCATAGCCATCCTCAAATGAAATGTATTTTTTTTTAAATACAGAAAATATGGATCAGAACAGGTAGATTTGGGCTGCAAAAATTATTTGCAGCATGATAATTTCATATGCACAACATTCCCAAGACTTTAGCTTCTCCCATGTATATTTCAATGATCTAAAAGTGATTTACTACTTAAAAAGTATGTAAATAAATAAATTTTATTATATATATGAAAATACAAGCAAATGCAAGCCTTCATATTTGTTTTTTTATAACCTATTTTTAATAAAAATTATAATATAAAACTCTAGATAATCTAGATATGTGTTTTGAACTTGGAATACTTCTCCTTTGGCCAAAACAACACTAGAAACTATCCTGCAAGTTAGGAAATCTCAGCTAGGATAAATGGAAGACATTTGGAGATTCAGTTGAACAAAATCACTCCACAGCCATCCTCAAATGAAATGTATTTTTACAGAAAATATGGATAAGAACAGGACTGTAGATTTGGGCTGCAAAAAAATTGCAACATTTCTTTTCTGCCATCTAGTGGCATCCAATTGTTTACATCCTTTGCTTTACAATCCCAGATCAGAACTAAATTGACAAAATAAATAATAGAAAATTTCATTACGATAATGGTTGCAATTCTAATCATCTTCATTGCTACAGCATTTGGAGATATTAAAACTGAAGTAGTTGAACAAGACAAAGGTGAAAGAAAAAACAGAACTTACAGGACTGAGTCTTGCTACTTCCGGATGTTCAACATAAAAGTTTTTCTCAAATTTGGGTAATTCATTCAAGTCCCACTTCTTCTTACGCAAACGCTCTCCTGGATTTCCAAATTTTTTAGGAGGCAGAGGGCTACCAAACCTTAAAGGATTAGACAGAAATCATTACTTTTTATTTTCTCTAGTTGATTCATCTGGAATAGCATTATTTTATGAAGATTAAAAGTGTCATTAAATTTATGTTGAAAAACATCAATAGCAATGGTAATGTTTATTCTATATAATATGCCATATCTGAATTAAACCATGCTTAATTTAGATCCTCTGAAAGAAATGGGGAAAAAAATCACTCATGGCTGAAAAATTATATTCATTTCATTGAATATGCATGACCAAGTCTGGATTCAATAAAATTTATATATAGTAAATGAGCAAAAAGTATCACAAAGTGTTTTGGATAATATTAAGACAATGGATTAAACAAATTTATAAGAGACTGGAAGCAGTTTTTAGATTTTCTACACCTTAAATACAATGACAGATGGTTAACAAAGGGATTTGAAAATTAGTTTTAACTTTGGAGTAATCTGTTGTTTCTGTGTGTGTATATGTACATATACTGGGTCAATTTAATTATTAGTTTTCCACATCAGGGATATTTATTTATATAATATAGAATTTCTGTTAAATACAGATGGGAAAATTTATGGCTATTTTGTAAACCAGTTATTTAAGGGAAAGAAATATATTACATTTTGATGTATCTTTTCAGCATTCAACCAGGGTTAATTTTTTTAATGTTTAATGTTAGATGTATTTGGGCTTTTTTTTTCTCTTTAAGATGTTAGTGTTGGACATGTGTTAATCTGTTTATTTTTCTTTTTTGCTTTTCTTTGTTTTGTATTTTATCTTTGGCAATAAAAGAATAAACATACTTGAACATGAAAATATGAAGAAATGTATTGTGTATAACATTCTCCAATGGAAATGACAAAACAGGGCAAGTTTTACATAAAAATATAGAAGAAAAATGTAACTCTTTAATCAATATTCTTTCTACTTTAAGAGTAACAAATTACAAAAAAAAATACATCAGAATACAGTTTTAATTGCAACATTAACATCAATAAGGCCACAAAGAAACTAAGGGCAGGAAACCAAGCATTTTAATCCATACAAAATCTACTATCTTCAATAAGCACATTGGAATGTGGAAATGATCTTAGAGAAAGGGGGGAAAGATGTTGCCTTGGAAACAATCAGAGAAAAAAGACAAAAGGTCCCAGTGGCTTAACAGTCAAAAGAGAAAGAAACTTAGAAAGAATCTGCCATTAATAGATCAAGCAGTTAAAGTGACAGCAGGGAAGCTTTGTACTTTTAGACTTGCAAGATTCTGTTAATGTAACCTTAAGATAGATTTAGCTCTCATTTAGTTGTTTCCTGTCTGGTTTACCCAGGAAGACTTAGTGAGGTCTGTTCTCATATATTGCTAAAAACAGTGAGAAGTATACAGTATATTAATGCACATAGTTAACCTTGCATTTGTAAACTACAGTAGTAACATACTTCTCAAAAATTACATTGTAGTGCTCACACACCCTTCTGTACTTCTGGAAAGTATTAGGATTTTCTGGTTCTTCACTTGAAGACAGGAGAGATTTATTCTCAACTAGTTTGACTTTGACCATTAAGGTACTAAGTTATTCTCTTTATTTTAAGAATAGATTACACCATGTAATAATTAATAAGCAATTTGATTCCTGCTCTTGTGAGTTACAGTAAAAGCACACCTTCTTTTGAGAGCACTAATCTATACGATTAATGATTTCTGCATAAATATAATTAGGATTGCTTTAGTAGAGCACTTCCATTCAGTATGAGATTAACTTTATCAGTCACACTATTATCAAAAAACATATCCCATATTTAAAGATTTGTTAAAATCTTTACCTCAGAATCACCAGCTACAATAAACATCTCTCAAAATAATAATGTAGCTTCTCATATTGTATAGAACTAATCCTTGGGCCTGCCCAGTAAAATATCAATGATTCATAATTTCCTCCTAATTAAATAACAATCCAAACTATGTTTACTTGCAAGTTTTAACTTATTTCATCAGAACTGATAGGTACACTTTTAAAGGGGTTGTAAAAACAGTTTTTCAGCCAAGAGTTGCAAAGTTAGGATGCCACAATGTTGGGAAGGGTGCTGATTTTCCATCTGGCTTTTGATTTAAATGAGTGCAGATTTTTATTATAACCATTGTATTGCATTTTATAAGTCTCCCACTCTTCCACTAGCGCAGGTAAAATTTGGAAGTAGGCAGTATAAGACCATTCTTAACAATTTGACAAGAATATAGACAGAAGCAAAGAAAAATCCGATTAAAATATTTCTTATTTTTAGATTATGCCAACGCAGCCACTCGGATTTCGGCAGTAATTATTATATTAGGCCTGTTCACCAGGAGATAAAGAAAAACGAGGTGTGCTGGATCAGAAGATAAGTGACAATATAACCTTTGAGGGTTAGAGTCCCTGGTGAATCAATTACTAGTGTATAGTAACGGCATGGAAGCCCTCTGCTCAAAGGAAAGAAAATGCAAAATCTCTCCGTGGGGCGCCTAGTCCTTCCAAAGCCCAGCACTTCCCCCCCATCTCCGTCTCTTCCTAGGCCGACATTAATCTGGCACCTCCCAGTCAAACGTTCACCTCCATATTGTGACGCCATCTTTCAGCTACCCGCATAAAATTTTCTGGCTTAACCTTAGAAATACGGGGAGGGGGAAAGAAAAGCAACCCGGAGAGTGAACCTTTTTTTTTTCCTTACGAGAAAAGGTCCCGTTGTTAAAGTGCTCTTTTCCCCACGACGTAAAAGCCCAAACCCTACAAACCGGCGGCCTTCATCCATTACATCTGCTCTCTCCGCAGTCTATACTATTGTGCTGATTAATTAAGGAGTCGCCGGCGAGTTCTGAGGAACTTGCTCCCAACTTCGACCGTTTCCCATTTCGACAAAATGGCAGAACCCCACCCCTCTTCTCGGTGTCCTTCAAACGCTTTAATTACCACGAGAAAGGCAGAAATTTAGCACGGCCAGCCCTCAGGCACCGCTGGCTGTACCCGGAGTATTTCTGCCTGCCACGCAGCAGAAGGAACACTAAAGGGCGAGACGAGGGGAGGGCAGAGATACGACAAAACCCTTGAAAGAAGCCCGATTCCCTCATTCACATCGTCCTTACCCGCCGCGGTCGCGATCGCGGCCTCGGTCACCGAAGCCTCGCATTCTTCCAAGCAGGAAAAGGGACCCCTGTGCTCGACTTATGTGAAAGATAGCGCTGAGAGGCCAACCGCGCCTACTCTGAACTTTACTGCTGCCTTGTGGCTATAAAAACAACTCCCGGATTTAATTTTCCTATCTAGACGGCCGACAGGATTGGTTTTCTGGAGCCTCTGAGAGCCGAGTCGCGCCAGGAACTGCTTGGCGCTGGTTAAGAAGCAAACCAGCCTTTCTTCTCCGGCTTCCAGACACAAAATGGCCGCCGTCACCCCGGTTTGCCGCCTCTTACGCTGTCGCCCAGCCCGCTTGTTGCGTAAGATACGTCTCTTGAATTACCGAGGAAAGAGAAAGCCTTTCTCTACGCTTATTCTCGAGCAGTGATCACGTACGCTGGTCACGTTTCATAGAAGCAATTTAAGAAGCTTTCGCTAGGTTGCGCCGTAAACTATCGAAGAACTCTACGTGAAGAGCCTATTTTTTAAATGTATTCTCGAAACACATGTATGCCAAGTTTCAGTTCTAGCAATCTTAAAAGCACTGAAATACGGAACTGCGAGTCCGTAGCATTTCTGCTGCCGTCGCTTAGTGCAGCGCCACATTTTGAGCAGGAAAACTGACTGCCCATTTTGCGTAGAAACTGGCGAGTTATGTGTACTCAGCAATGTGCGGAATTTAATAATCATACTTATCAGCTGTATTGAACGAAAAGGTATGAGATTTATGAGACAAATAGTTCCAATATCTATAACGTAGAATTGGTTTACCCAATAACTAACTCCCTTTCTTGTTTCAAAATACAACAACAGTTTTTTTCCTACAGTTCAGCTTACTTTCATAGCTGAAAGCTATTCATTTTAGAACGATACAAATACTGGTTACGCCATTCTACTATGGGAAGACTGAGCCCTGGGGGGACTAATCCCTCCTGTTTAGAAGTCCATTCACTGCCATATGCCCTGGCAGTTTATACTGGCTTTATCTTCCTGGAATCCTTTTTCTTAACAATGGGTGTGAGAGAGGAATGCCACAGAATGCCTTTGTTGGAATATCCATCTGGTTCAATTCCAAGCTGGGAAAAAGACACTGGAAACACAAAGGCTGATTGGAAAGCAGAATGGTGAAGCAGAAGCACGTGGGTGGTTCTGGGCAGCTGACCAAATAGAATTGAGACGGGGGTGGGTGGGTGCGGGGTTACACTGTAGGAAGTTAGCAGCCACCCCTCTCCTAGAAAAATGAAATATCCTGGGAAATATAAAAAAGGCAGAATATTTCCCCTAAAAAGAGTAAAGTAGTAACTCAGAGAGGAAGAAACTCAGCCCCCCCACCTTTGTTAATGGGTGGGCCATTAAGGCCTGGGCCAGAATACTTTACATAACAAAGATCTCCAGGTAAAAGCTATAAAAATTGCCCAAGAGCCCTTTCAGTGCATCATCATCATCCAGCAAGGCTCAACCAAGCCTGGAACTCAGGAAAGCCTACAAAGTTAGCTAAGACCTGGGAGTCTGACAGCCAATGGGATACACTTCTTGCACAGGAACAGGAAACACTAAGGTAGGACCCAACAGAGGGTATATAAGGGCCTCAGCATCTTGGCCGGCCCCTTCCTTCTCTTTTCTTTCACTTTGAAGCATGTGATCATCCTTTTCACTTTGGAGCTTCAAGCCCTGTGGTCCTGCTGTCCACTATTAAACCATCTTTCCAAAATAGCCTCCCTGTTTCCAGTGTCTTTTTCCCCACTTGGAACTGAACCCAGAAGGATATTTCTACCAACAATACCTTCTCTTGGGCTTTGAACTTGAACTTCCTGTTCCTGTGCAAGAACATGTATTCTATTGGATGTTGTCAGATTCCTATGGGGTCATATTTGAGCTCCCAGACAGGTTTAGTTGATTTGTTTGCTGAGTGATGCAGTGTCCTTAGGAGAGAGTGCAATGCAGTGAGCCCTGTGTCTTCTGCTAAATGGTTCTATTATGTCCTGAAGGGCCATGTCTTAATCCCATCACACTGAAGCTGAAGGTATTTTGTCTTGTAGATAGGCTGGACCAGTCCTGCTCGGGCTATTAACAATGGCGGGAGCTGCTTTCCAAGAGCATGTTTCTCCTTTAAGGAAATATAATCATTCTGCCTTTTTAAATATTTCCCAAAATATTTCATTTTTCTAGAAGAGTGGTGGGTGCTAACTTTGTACACCATGGTAGCTACACATTTTCTATGCATTTTCTTATTAATTACATGGTAGTACATAAGCAGGATAGTTTTCAAGCAAAGGGTGGTTTTTCTCTCATGTTGTGTGAAAAGAAGTTGGGGAGGGGGAGGAAAACTGTTACCCTTTCAGTATATGGAACCTGTCTATTAGTCCAGCCAGTATGGCCATGGCCAAGTCAGTGACTGTTCTGGTCTAAAACGTTTGACAGGCTAACCTAGATAATCTACTGATGCCATAAGCCTTTGATTGTTTCATGTGGGCACTTAACTAGATAATGGCCTTGAGGTCATTAATCATAGCTTAAAAATCATATGGCCTACTCCAACTAATTCACAAATGGTAAATGGATGCTTTCAACTTCTGACTGCTGTGTTAGAATATAAAAAGAAAAATAACTTATTCTGGAGGGTTATGCATATCCAGAACCCCAACTTATGTTCAGAATGCTCAGTGTTATTTTCTGGTGAGCGACAGTATTCAAGAAAAACAGGTACATGTTTGAATATTGCTTTAACAGGGAACAGGAAAATAATACGCCATAAAATATTCGCTTAGATTTGGGGGGCTTATTACATATCCATTGATGGAATATAGACAATATAATTTGCTTTCAAAGAAAAAAAGAGGCAATTGTTTGATTTTACATGAAGTTCATGTGCAGATATTTTAATTACAATTAAGCAAATATTTAAACTTTGCAAACAATAAATATTCCTTGAGTAAAATCAATTTCCAATTTTTAATTCCAGTCTACTTTATCTAGAACAGGGGTGTCAAATTCGTGGCCCACTGGCCAGATATGTCATGTGCTGGCCCCGCCCCCACCCAGTTTAGTGAAGGAGAAAAAAGTCCTGATATGACCCGTAACGACCTAAGTTTGGCACCCCTGATCTAGAAACTCCTTATCAAATTAATTTTTTTAAATGAAGATAAATTACTTTCAGTTACGGTAATTCTATATGCACAATTAATACATTAAAAATCCTTAAATTTTTACATTAAAAATCCTTAAAGGATCCATAAAGCATTTTGAGATGTTTTTAAGTAACAATATTTTCTATTCTTATGATCTCTAGACTTCAGACTTTTGCAACTGCAGTGCATTGGTGCTTTCCTAGTAGAAATGCCCTGCACAAAATTAGTGCTGTTATGAAAAGGATGGTTACACATGATTGACATTTTTTGTGAACAATCAGATATGCTCAGCAACATCAAAAAACATTTCCAGCAATCATATTGCTGCCTCTCAATTTTAACTTTTCTAAATTTGGAATAATAAACATAAGTAAGTAGGAACTAAATAACTTTTGATATAATTTGATTGGAGTCTCTCAGTTGTTTATCATTAAGATCAGCCTACTCTTTTGCATCTCCTATACCTCCAGCAGTTATTGCAAACGTGGCTTCATTTTCAGGCATTTCAGGACTGAAAAAAGAAATAAAAATTAATTCTTTTACTTTTCTTTTGGAATTTTGTAAATAAATAGAGACACTTTCCACGATAGAACTGGATGCAGAAATCCAGAAGAACACTAGATAGGCAGGGGTGGATTCTATTGGTTCGGACTGGTTCGTGTGAACCCCTTGCTCTGGTTCGCTGCAACAAGCGCGTGGGCCCCTGCTCTTTCCCGTGCTTTATTTCTTTTTTTTAGAGCACAGTTGATTTGCGTGGCAGAGCAGTTTGCTGCACCTCAGCTGTTTTATTCAGAGGGACCGCAGTAGTATTAGAGCTTTTTAAAGGCGGAGCACGCACACAGAGAATGTGTTTGGTGCATGCGGGCGCACAATCACTGGACCAGTTGTTATACCGGTGGAATCCCACCCCTGTAGATAGGGGTAAAAAGTTAAACTTCAGTATCATTTTGGTCACCATATAGTGGTGGGATTTTTGCAGCCCAGATGTTATAATCCTAGACATTATAATTGATGTTACTTACCTTCAAAAATAATGTAATTTTCATTTAGCTTTTCTCACTATAGAAGCAATTGTTACAGTGTTATTTTAGATATCCTGTTACAGGTAGTCCTTGACTTACAACAGATCATTTAATAAGTATTTGAAGTTATGACCGATTTTTAAAGGATATTTATGATCTTTTCTCAAAGTAACAACTGCTACCATTCCCCCAATTGCCACATGACTGCATTTCAAATGGCTTCCCCAGAAAGCCGATGGAGAAGCTGACAGGAAAAGTTGCGAACTGTTACCTCCTATTGGAAGATCTACTCTCCCCTCCATACATGAGATTAATGGGGTGTGTGGGGTGGAAAGAGTCCTATGGTGGGCTGGAGAAATGACAGTTCCCATCTGTACATGGAGGTGTGGGCAACTCTTGCAGTAGGCTGAAGAAAAGAAGCTCAGATCTTTTGATCTCCTTTCTCCAACCAGCCACTAAAATTCCATTCTGCACATGGAGGGAAACTGTCTACTACCCTGCCTCAGAAGACAGCTTCTTTGATCTGTCCACTTAACAATCCATGCAGTAGCAGTTATATGGGTGTCTTGATTAATGATTACTATGACTTATGACCAAAATTTTGGGCTCAATTATGGTTGCAAGTTGATTACCTGTATGCAGTCAATAATAAAACGATTGTGGCAGAAGTTACATTATATTCTGCTCCCCCCCCCCCCATCTACAGAGTTTTATAATTACTTTCATATAAACCCCTTAGAGGGGGAAATTTCTTTATATTTCTCTATGTTTCTCTATTTTTATATAATGTTTATGCTGGGTGGTGTTTTCAGTTACATTGAATATCAGATATTGAGGTGACGAGTTTGACGTTTGAAACCATGATGCACTGCTGATAATAGGTAGCATACAGTTTCTTGAGAGGGATGAATACTTGCTGAAAAAGCAAACATGGTAATAGCATGCTTCTGTCCAATGTGTAAAATAGAAGTTGAAGATATCAGGAGAAACATAAACATTTAATGCCATAGAATTGGGTTACAAAAAAGTGTTTGTCATAAACCAAGAAGTGATGGTGTCAAGTATAAAATGATAATTCTCTTTTTGGTATCATTTTGATTATTGTTAGTCTGTTGTTTTGCATGGACACTGAGAGCTTATGCACTGGAGACAAATTTCTTGTGTGCCTAATCACACTTGGGCAAATAATATTCTATTCTACTGTATTCTATTCTACACTGTAATGTATAATATAATGTACTGTCACAACTGACAGTACATTAAAGTAATTTAGTCATATCTCTTAATTTTTTACACATTCATTTAAAAATTAAAACCCAAATAAGTCACAATGATTACACAGAATATGTTGAAGTATAGTGTACTGTACCAGTCAGTTTCTATATTACCTATCATATATCTTGGCAATACGTAATTCTCCTCTTCCCTTCCGTAAACTAATCCTTGTTGTAGAAGCATGAGCAAGAATATGTCCTCCAATGGGTTTCTTGGGATCAGCCTGAAAGCTACATCAAATAAAGACAGAACTGTTATATCCAAAGTGAGGAATATGACCCTAAATTATTAAAAATCTTGAAATAATATTGATATATAGTTCGCCATGAGAAACATCAATATTAACAAAATAACATTCTTTTAATTATTGTATGTTTGTCCGTATGCCTTCAGGTGAGTGTGACTTCTGCACAAGTTCCTACAGTTTGATGGTTTAACTGCTATACTAAGCACTCACTTTCTCACTCTCTTTTTTTCTCTCTCTTTCCACATATTACTGATCATTGGCTTTATTGATGATGGACAAAGAAGGGAATTAACATAAAAAATAATAACCAATAATCCTCAGTTTATAGCACAATCTAAATACAAATGAAATTGTATATAAGAGAGCTAATGCTTGACAAAAAGAAATGAATTCTTGACTCAATATTCTTTCCAGTTTCTGAAACTATTGTTAATTAACCCATCAACTATTATCTTTATGCGGGGAGCCAGGAATACATCATTTGCAAGTAAGCTTTAGTAGTAAGCTAGCTCTGAACTCTGCATAATCTGCAATGGGAAAACAAGATACTGTATGAGCCTCAATCATTCTCAGGATCATTGAAGGAGAATATGAATTGGTCCAATCTGAGAACCCTATAAATGCACTCTAAAAGCAAAAAATAATTTTAAGAGCAGGACTTTTCTCCAGATGAGACAACACAAGAAGTAGTTGCATTGTGCTGTTTCTCTCAGTAATTTTCACCTCATTTTCCCAGGTGCTTTTTTAACATATGCATTTTAAATATAAAGACGCATTTAAACTACATACCTAGCTTAGACTTTCAGTCATTTTTCCTATTTAAACTGACATTCAGGTAAACTATTTCCCTAGAATCCCTTATCAGTATGGTTCAAGTATGAGTCTTCTTTGGGTTTCTAGAGTACTTTTTCTGTGATTTAAAAATATAATTAAGAAATCCTATTTCTGTGACTTAAGAACATCAATAATTTACTTACGTCATAGTTGCTCCAGGATCAGAGGTCATTTGGTTAGTCACAAACACAGCCACATTATATTCTGCAGTAAGAAAATTAGGTCAAAAGATGGAATAGACATAGAGAGAAAAAATATTCTGCTAGTATTCTTTCCACAATCTTTTGTTAAAAAGATTTCTAATAAACTATGCCTATAAAATTCTCCACAATATTGAAAAAGCATGGAGATCAGTTTTAATAACCCTAACAGACAAATAAAATAGTATTATGGAAAGTTTTGTAACTTTCAGATGTGTGGACAAATCTTCAAATTCCCTATTGGTGATAATTGTTTCATTTGAAATATGAAATATGAAATGGTAGTTGCCAAGATTGGGAAATACTAGTTTAAAAAATACCCAGCAGTATCAACCTAAACCAGATCATTAAAACCAAATAAAAAAGTGTTGTGTAAGTCTAATTAAAAGCCAAGTGTCCTTTTGTGGAGTACAACTATACAATATAGGGAGTATATTACTAAAAAGATTCCATCCCTTTTATCTTTCAATCTCACTGGGATTTTCAAAAGAGAAAACAGTGTACATAAAACCATGTGCTTAGCAAGTTTTTTTTTTTTTACTTTATCCCACCTTCTGATATTTTCTGGAGTCTCGAGAGCATCTGAGCAAGTTTCTGTTGCCTTTCAGCTAATTCCCCACGACCACTAAAATCCACACGAAACAGTGCCATAATGGAATCTATTATCTACATTAAATGTCAAAAAGACATTAATTCATGAGAATAAATTTAAAACATTAACATATTAATTAAAGGAATTGAAGTATATAATAAACAGGATTATAAAATATATACCAGTAGTTTGAAAATGCCAGGTTCCTCATGGAATTTGCCAGCAACATAATCAAGTAGTTCCATTTGATGCTCACCTTCCAAGGAGGAAATAGTAATAATAATAACATTTGTTTTAAATCAGAAAAGTAGAAGTACTTGCTAGATAGACCAAGATGTATAGTAGTTGAGTTACAACTGACATAACTAAGTTTTAGTATCTTTAGGTTGCCATTTTTAAAACGTTACTTTAAAATAATTCCAAAAGAAGCTAAATGCTTCATAAATATTTGAAATCCTCTCTTGAAAATTGTGCAAAGTATGATAATATTCATTTCTAGCTGAGGTTACAGTAATGTTTATGTAGGTAATTATAAGTTTTACCTATACTTCTGCAATATTTCCATACAGAAGTCATGTGCAATGTCATGTTCAAACATTTGATGTGACATTCCTAATTTACTTATTTGCTTAATAAAATGTAGTCTAAGCCTTAGTAAGGCCACACCTAGAATACTACATCCAATTTTGGTTACCATATTACAAAAAAGTTGAGAAAAACTGCAAAGAAGAGCAATTAAGATGATTAAAGGCCTGGAGACTAAAACGTATGAAGAACACTTGCAGGATTTGGGTTTGGCTCGTCTAGAGAAAAGAAAGACAAGGAGAGACATGATAGCAGTATTCCTGTATTTGAAAGGTTGCCACAAAGAAGAGGGGGTCAACTTATTTTCCAAAGCACCAAAAGGCAGGACAAGAAACAATGGATGAAGACTAATCAAGGAGAGAAGAAGCCTGGAATTAAGGAGAAACTTCCTAACTGAGGACAATTAACCAGCAGAACAGCTTGCCATCGGACGTTGTGGGTGCTTCATCACTGGAGGTTTTTAAGAAGAGACTGGACAGTCACTTATCTGAAGTGGTATAGGTTCTCCTGCTTGAGCAGGGAGCTGGACTAGAAGACCTTCAAGGTCCCTTCCAGCTCTGTTCTGATTGATTGATTGATTGTAACAAGCTTGCAGAAATGTGGTCTTATCACAATAATTTAGAAAATTCTGATTAAACATTTGAAAGAGTGTTTGTACAGAACACTGTATTAGAAAAAGAAAAATACCTTTATTATGTCAATTTCCTTAAGAAAACAGTCTCTTGTGTATTATAAACAAACCCCACTGTACAGAATTCATATAGTGCAGTAATATGGTTTGAAGGGAAGTCAATATAAATATTTCTTTGGGGAGAAGAAATAAATTGATAGATAATATGTTCAGATTTTGGGAAACTTTATAACTCAATCTTATGTGATAATTATCCTGAGTATATTCAAAACAGAAACAGAAATTTAAAAATAGACATCATTCCAGTGATAACCCCTTGATGCATAATTGTTCATTCTTAAAATGAGCAGGATTCCTGTGCCATCTTGTTGCAATCTTACTAGTATAAGCCCGTGCATACAATACGTTGTCAAGAACTGCTTCATGATCCGCATTGAAGCGATCAGCAATGTCACGTAGGCGGTCTGGACGACTGGAACGTTTCTTAGTTAAGGTATATGATTTTTAATTCAGTACTCAGATATATAGCTGAATCCCATTCATAAAAACAAATATCTTCTCAAAACTGAGCACTTCCAGATGCTAATTCTCCCCTCTTTTAATAACTATGCTCTTTTGATTGCCAGATGTTACTTGCAAACCAGTCTTGATGCAACGCAAACTTCCAAAACTTATGATCTAAAAATCTATTTGTATTTTGACCTCACTTGAACGACAAATTAAATTCACATTCCATTAAATTAATCCTGTGTTTATGGACTTTGTCCCCATTTCAGTAACTTCTCCTATATCTCCTACTTCTCAGCATGTGACATCCAGCCTAGTTCAGGGAAGCAAATTAGTTGACAGGCTGTTTTAACAACTTTGGATTTAGCTTGATTGACATCATGTAGATGTCCTCCATGAGCCCTACACTGACAAACCTCATGGTGAAAGTGCTTGTGTTTTGTAAACTGTGAGAACAACATGTATTCAAATAAGCATTAAGATATAAAATTAACGGCAAATGGGAAGATCACTTCCCTGCATGTGGCTTTCATCTTCTCCTCTCTGCACATTAAATGTCTTTTCTGCTTATGCTGTACCATAAGCTCAAATTTTAAATGTATAATTAATACTATATAGGAAATCCTTTGAAATCTTTTCACCCTGTTCAGTCAACACAATATATTCAGGATACAATGTATTTTCTGTGTCAATGAAAATAATCTTCCCGCCTGTATACCCATCTGCTCCTGGAAGTTGGGCTGTCACTAAAATAAATAATAATAGTAACAAATTTTCAAATATCCCAAATCAAAGGGTTACTGTCAAAACAATGAATGAATTTTACATTAAATCCCCTTTTTCTATCGGCCACTGCATCAAAAGCTCCATGCTACAGTATTGTGTTAATTAGGTGAGTAAAGATCAAAATGAAAGATTTTAATTTATTCTAAAATCATTTTAGAAATGGCATTTCCCGGGGTGTAATAGGAACTAATGATAAGGCTGTCATATATATTTGTTTTTGTTATATTTTACATTGGCTTTATATTTGTATTTTCTTCCTTGTATATTGTATGTTGCCTTAAATTCTATACAGATAAATATTTGCAGATAAGAAGGGACTGGAAATATTGCTGCAGCCATGTATGAAGCTGAGAATATTCCAGTGGTGCAGATAACTGTTTCCTCCACATCTATCTTGTACAATATAGTAAAACTGAAAAATCTGAGGCTGCCATAACATGAATGTTGTCAGAAACAATGGAAGAAGTCATTTGCTGATCATTCATCACCTCCCTTGTCAGATGGAACATATCAAGTATTCTGACTTGATAACATGCCAGCTGTATACATAGTATAAGCTGCTTAGCCTGACTGCTCTTCTTTCCACTACCATTGAGATTCTGATAAGAAAGCTTCGTAGCCTGAACATTTAATACACTTTTCTATTTTAATGATTTTGGGAAATACTTTTAAGTAGATGATATTGCTAAGGAACTTGCCAGAGCAAGACTAGAAGGCAATTCTTATAGTTCTTCCCCTCAGAATATGGTTGCTGTAAATACACAGTATAACTCATTTCTTTGTAATGTGGCATCTAGGGACTTGCTTTCTACTAGGGAGTCAGAAAGGCTATGGGGCTGAAGGGAGGATTAGAGTTATCCTTACCAAGTGAGATATACAATCCACCACTGAAGAGAAGAAAGCTAATTCTTCAGCTAGTATAATATTTAGCATGTTCACACATATGTATGTGATTTTAAATACCATCAGTATATTTTTGCATATTGAACATGCAGTTTTAAATATAATTATGATTTGATACATACCACAAAGAGTATGAGAAAGTTGGGTTTTGCCTGTTCGGAATTCTATTAAAAACAACAAAAAATAAAAATTGTAAAGAAGGGTAGTCAGTCATGCAAAGATACATTCGCTAATTAGTCCAAAGTTTTTTTTATTGTTTTGTTTCAAAGACTAACACAACTACTTATTTGAAACCATGTCAATTTACTTGCAGAAAAGCTCCCGTGTTCAGATAAATTTTATAAAGATTTATATATTTATATAAAAATATGTATATTGTCACATAATGGAAGGATCAATTGAATAGCATGATAATATGCAGAACTCCATTATTCAATGAATTTGATATGAAAACCACTCAGAAGGGACACTTGATGTAGAGAGTAAGGGAGATAGTTTTACAGAAATATGGAGAGAGCATTGAAATATTCTTGAAGCCTGAGGAAGAAGATAGTATTCAGAAGTCATTCAGATCATCCTGATTCACTGGAGGATTGAAAGAAGAAAGAAGATTGCAAGTTTCTGTCACTATAGTATAACTTTAGTCATCCTATGAAGTTGATTTTTCTGGTGTGGCCTACCTAGTGGATACCTACCTACTATCTACTTGAGGTTCCATTCACTTCAACTAGATACAACATTTATGCAGAGATACAGCCTTAAACTACTTTAAAAATATTAAGATGGCATTAAGTAATTTTAATAATGGGTTTAAAGGTTTAAAGCAACCCAGTTAGGCATGCTAAAGATGCTTTGCAATGACTATCATGAGAATTCACAACCCGAATATCTTCAGGGAATTCTATCCAACCTGAATGGTATCACACTAAGAAAACTGACTTAGATATACTACAATCTGATATATTTTTCTTACATGCATAGTAGGTACCAGAATACAAAAAAAGGTATAGCTCCTTCCAGTTCTATATGACTTTTAAATATTGACAAAGAAATCAAAATATAGTGCCTGTTCAATATACTTACAATTCCTATGGTTTGGGGAATTATTCCCCAATATGTTCACTAACCTCCGAAGGCTTCTGTAATAGCCATGCTTTCAATCCCACCACCTAGGAGTTTACTGGAAAGAAGAAAAAAACTTAAAATCGTGGAATGTATAGGACTGAGACTGGCCAAGCCAGGGGGAGGAGTCAAATGAGAAATTAGTGTGGAATTCCTAAATTATCTAGGAATAATTTATTGCTTAAAATGAAAAATACTAAAATGTACTAAAACTTTAACAATATCAGGAGATGCGAGTAAAATCAATTATTTATTTGATATATGATATCAAAAGAGGGAAATATAAAAAAGAGTAATTAATCAGAATATTCCCTTTTGGGTTTTTTTCCAGCTTTATTTATAAACCAAAGCAACCATTTAAATTTATTAAACTTATGCCCCATTACAATCTAGTGACTGTCAGTTGTTTATAGAGTATGCTATATACTAATTTAATTAATTTTAAAATAATTTGTCCCTTAATAAGCAGAATTTGGCCCATTCTCTAACAGTTTTACATTTTACCTAATAGAAAATATAATCTCTGCGAGTAAGATAACATGTCAGGGGCACTGTTAAATGCTTAATTATGGTACTGCTGAAGCTATAAAGATAATGACGACTCCTCCAACACTTCCTCAGAGGCCAGATGGAGGGAGAATGAGATCATTCCTGGCATGTCACGAATTACTGACTCTGAACTGCCGGCAGAACAGCTTCAGGTAGGGGCAGCTTGCAGGCTATTGAAGAAGAGGGAGAGGAGCTACATGCTGTGGTGAATCTCAGAGCATGCAGGGCAGAGAAACGGAGGCCTCGCTCCTCTTGATGGGCTGCACCAGCAGCTATTTAGCACAGCAGGCGGAAGGAGGTGTTGCTGGAAGCAATGTGTGTGGTTGTGGCTATGTACTCATTCATGTTTCCTGGGACTCTGAATTTCTATAACCCATCAGCTAACACAGATGAACTTTAGGTTTTTCCTGGGGGCTTTATGTTTGTTTATTCGACTTGCTGTTTGAGCAGCTTGCTATTTGTGTTATGGACTAATTGGCCATTGCCTGGGGGATTAATCTGGCCTTGCTCATGGCTGGTTTTGGTTGGGACAGTGCTAAAGCTGGGGGAAGACAAAAAAAACCTCCATAAACCACACTGACATGTGAGTGCGAGTGAGATATTCAGCTGAAACTAAATTAAAATCAAAAGATTAAAAACTTGAGCATGAAGGAAATGAAAAAATAAGGGTGTAGGATTGTCAGTTTACTAACTCAAATTCCTGGCTTCCAGTGGTAATATGGAATACCATCTTTCGCTTCTCACTATACTCAAATGCAGTCAGAAACCCTGGTTCCTAGGGGAAAAATGAAACTATTTAATATGTCTTGCAGTCATGGTAATTTAATATTTGTAAATTGCTTTGTACACTGAACAAATAATGCAAGTAGTTAGAGCAAACAATTATATAATATTTGATCAAAGCTCCTAACCATGTAGTAGTGATAGTAGTATACAGGTAATCCTTGATCTACAACAGTTTGTTTAGTGACTGTTCAAAATTGCAATGGCATTGAAAAAAGTGACTTATGACAGTTTTAACGACCATTTGACGAACCCTGACACATTGCAGAATATCTACGGTCGCAATTAAAATTCAGATGCTCGACAATTGACTAACATTTATGACGGTTGCAGTGTCCCAGGATCATGTGATCACCTTTTGCAACTGTCTGACAAGCAAAGTCATAGGGAAGTCAAATTCACTTAACATTCGTGTTACTAACTTGACAACTGCAATTATTCACTTAACAAGTGTTACAATAAAGGTCATAAAATTGTTTATAATATTAAATATGTATGGAATTGCATTATCCCAGAGAAATCCAGTGTGCAACTCTGATGCCTGCTCAGGGTAGGTGACATTGTGGCTAGAAGAGCCTTTGTGCAACTTAACAACTGTGTTGCTTAGCAACAGAAATTTTGGTCTTAATTGTGGTTGTAAGTCAAGGACTACCTGAAGCTCTGAATATGTTATTCAATGTAATTTGCATAATATTTAGTGGGGTATATATTCAAAAGTGTATAGAACAGTTCTTGAATTAACAAATCTGAATAAAGTAGTTCATGCTTATTTTGTAGAAAGCAATAACTTTTTAATAGTTATATTCTGGTTACAAGATCACTTCAGATTGCTGAGCTGAACTAATGAATTTAGATTTACTCTAGGTTTTCACCATTTGTTGACTATGACTAGACATTGCAAAGCTTGATTCTATGCAGCAAACTATCAAAACACATGGTGACGTAAATTAAGGATATGTATTATATATGGCAGAATTCCTAACTGAATTGGATGGATGTGACTGAATCAAAGCAGGACCTGAGGAAGACTGAAACCAAATTACTTTGAAACAATTGGTTATTGATTTGCAAAATCGAATTACTTCACAAATTATTTGTTTTAAGAAAAAGTATTAAATAAGAAGAACAGCGAAAAAGTATTAGTGCTGGAGGCTATGGGGGCCTGCCTGGGGAACAACAGGTGTTGGCTGAACCCTGGCAAGATCAAATGGCTCTGGATACATGGACTTAAAGATGTGGGACTTTGCTTTAGATACAGACCTGGTCTGCAACTTGGGGGGTTCTCCTGGACTCAAGACTGGCTAGAAGACAACTTTGGGTTGTGCATCTGTTGCAGCCTATCCTGGATTAGGTGTCCCTGCACTCAGTCATTCAAACCTTAGTCATCTCATGCTTGGACTACTGCAATGTGCTCTATATGGGGGCTATCCTTGAAAAGCATTTGGAAGTTTCAAATGGTGCAGATTGGAGCAGTGTGCCCAATCTTTGGGGCCCTTAAAATGGCCCATGTTACACCATTGTTCTGAGTGTTGCACTGGCTACTGGTTTGCTACAGGTTGCAATTCAAAGTGTTGATTATTACCTATAAAGCCCTGCATGGCATAGGTCCAGATTAGTTGATGAACCATGTCATGCCCCCATTGGAGTCTGAATCTGTTGGCCTTGGAGGAAGAAGGCGAGACCAACACAGACGAGGGAGAAGAGTGCCCTGCTCCCCTTACAAGGCACACCTGGGGACTGAGATGTAAGGAGGTGCTGGTGGGAGAGGCATTTGTCAGGAACAAGTGTGGAATCTGTGGAGCCTCGTGTGCACTTGCCGACACCTGGAGATTACTGTGCTCTCTGTCAGGATTCCAGCAGTTACCCCAATTAAATCATGAATCTCAAGCCAAACTTCCAAAACTTCAAAAAGGATTTATTGGGAGTTAACATGTCTGGCACTGCCTGGATGTAGCTGACTCTGAGACACATAATTCATTGTCACCCTTGACCCTGGTTTCCCCCCACCCCCTGGGTGTATCGTAATGCATATTCTCCAATGAGACACATCCATAGCCAAGAGTCATCAATTATGTTCTTCAGTTAGAATTTTGCACAGCAGAAACTTTAGTCACCTAGTTACTAACTTTGAAAAACTATTTATGGAATGCACTTTCGCTTTCCAAGCTGCAGCACTGCTCTTTCAAAACCCTTTCCCCCCTCCCTTTCTGTTGGCAATTCTAAAAAGACCATAGAAATATTTTATGAGTTGACACTCTGTTTTGTGCTGCTTGCCCGGTTTGCTACTTTGCTGAAATTTTTGCCCTGGTTACTGTTTGGCTAACTTCGCTTATTGGACTACTCGCAGCCAGAGGCTGCTGAAGGTGCATGTGAATGCTTTGCTCCAGGACTTGTAGTAAACGTGGGGATGTTCGGGAGCAAAGTTGCAGCAATAAAAGGGAGTTAGACCTGTTCTCTGGCTGTGTTGCTTTCGTGTCATCACAAACAAACTGTCTCACCCCTATGGGACAGGTCCGTTCCACCCATGCCAGCAGTGGAGGCATGCTGCAGATCCCATCAGCCAAGGAATTCCAGGTGGTGGGGTCCAGGAGAAGAGCTTTCTTAACTGTGGCCCCATCCTTTAGAACAGGGGTGTCAAACTCAAGGCCCGGGAGCCAGATCCGGCCCGCGGGGTGATTAGATCTGGCCCGCAGGGCCACTCTGGAAACGGCGAAAGACTGGCCTGCGGTGCCTCTGCCAGCAAAAACAGAACTCGGGTGGGCTGCACACAGCCCTCTAGAGCTCTGTTTTCATTGGCAGAGGGTTACTTACAGGAGGCCGTTGCAGCCGAAAACAGAGCACAGGAGCCTGTTTTCTCTGGCAGAGGGCTTGGGCCACCACAAGCACCCCTGACATGAGTGCTGTCGAGCTGACCACACCCACTTTGGCCCTCCGAGGTAAAATACAATCCTGATGTGGCCTTCAATGAAATCGAGTTTGACACCTCTGCTTTAGAACATGTTGCCACCTGAGGTTGTATTGGCTCCCACCCTCCTGACTTTCTGTAAGAGCCCGAAGACCTGGTTCTGCCTGTTGGCTTGGAGCCCTGATAGGGGAATTTCACACTGGAGGTTGTTGATCAATTAATAGCAGTTCCCACCTCCCTCTCATATATTCTCCTTCCTTCCCATCTTTAGTTATAACTAGTATTTTATTGTATTTTTTAATATAATTATATATATTTATGCACATATTTCTGGTTTTATTTCAATATTATAAACTATCCAGAGTTGCCTTATAGTGAGATAAGCAGCAAACACATTATATATATGTATGTATGTATATGTACATGTATTTGTTTGATGCTCGCTATAATGTGTGTATGTGTGTATGAATTAATTTCTAATAACTTTGAATAATTTTATCAGAATTCTGCAATCTTGAGAGCTAGGGTAATACAATGCAAGACAGGGTCATATCTTAGTGTTTTTGGTTAGTTTTTCTGAGGAACGAGAAAAGAGAAAATAAAAACAAAACCAGGAAAATGTAGAATTAAATGCTTTCCTAGAAAATGTGATATATTTTAGTGAATCACATATACTAAAGTCAAGGACTACCTGTACATTCTCAGGTTTCCTGTAGGAAATAACTATGAAGAAAATCTAATGGGATAATTTTTGCTTACTATAAGTTTGTTGGCTGCTTCTTTTATCTTCTCTACTTTGGCTTCCGAAAGTCCCTTCACATTACATAATGCGCGCTTAGTTGTCATCTGAATCCCTTTGACTGTGCAAATTCCTACTGATTTCAGCTTCTTAATGTCTGCTACATTCTGTGAAGGAAATAAACATGATCTAAAGTAGTGAAAGAAAGATGACTCTGAATTTAAGATGATCTTCCTAGAAATAAATATTCTTTGGAATAATGTCTTCCTCTTGTCAGCCTAATCTAGGCGAAGCCAGTGCTGCAGATGTTATCCCTCTTTCACCAATAAACATGGGCAGGAGGAAAAGTTATAAATCCATGTGCATTTATGTATGCATCAATTCACAACACAATCCATACATTTAAAAAAAGACATGGTCAGGAAAAGACAGTTTTGTGTAATAGTTAAGACACCAGGCTAGAAACCAGGAGACTGTGAATTCTAGTCCCACCTTAGGTATGAAAGCTGCCTTGAGTTGTTTATAAAAAATAATGATAGGATTAAAAAAACTAATAAATTATTTGCCTTTAAAATATGGCTCATTTATGTCAAATATTATTTCTTACACCAGCCATTCTCTTACACATGCAAACCACTTTCACAAAAATACAGATAAAAACACACATATGCACAATCTCTTCCTTTTAGCAGAGATAGAAGAAAAAAATATTACGATAACTACAAGTGTAAATAATTAAAGATAGAAAGAGAGGATCATGTTTAAGTGTATCGAAAGAGTTTACATCCATTGAGAAAACACCCACTTTTGCTGTTGTTATGGTATTGTAGTTTAATCCCTGAATGTACTTACAATTCCATGCTTCTGTAACAGATCAATGTCCTGGAAAAATGATTCCTGTTAACATCAGAACAGAATATTGGTTATTTTATTTATTTATTTATATTCATATGTTTAAACTGCCCATCTCCCCCAAAGACAAGATATAACCAATAAATAAAACCTCATATAAAATTTTAAGTTAAATCAGGTTTAAAACATTTAAAATTGTCGAATGATGGCAATTAAACATCAAAAAGGGGAAAAGAAAAAAAATCCTAAAATGGCCATGCCAAGATGATTATTACCGGTGTGGAGGGAGGGTTACTCATGGGACTAGCCAGCACCACAGTTGCAAGGGCTTCTGTGCCTCTCACTCAAGGATGTACAGCCAAGTTTTAACTCTTTTGCAGAAAGTCAAGATATTGGGGAGTTGCTTTCCTCACCTCTGGGGATAGGATGTTCTATAAAGCAGGGGCAGTAGCCAAGAAGGCTTTCTTCCTACACCCCACCAGTCAAAATTCTTTGACTGACAGAACCTGCAGTGTATTTTCTCTGCCTGATTGATTGAGGCAAGCTGATGAGATGGGGTGAAGCCAGCTCTGTATGTAATTTTATCCTATGTCATGTAGAACTTTATAAGTGATGACCAGTTCATGGAGCAAGGATGTTATATAGCATGTGTCCTTCTTTGGGCACCCAATATGGCCCATGTGGCCACACTCTGAACCAGTGAAACTTCTCAATACTTTTCAGGGATAGCCCCATGGGAGATGATTTGGGCATGAATGACTGAATATAGAGCTTCCCTGTCCAGGAAAGGTCTTAATTGGTGCACAATGGGACTTGGGCAAAGGGCCTCCTGGCCATGGCTGTCACCTGCTTTTGATCAGGAGTTGTGAGTTCAAGAAGACTGGGGTAGTGCAACTCCATCCAAGACCAGGGATGGTAAAATCCCAGGAACAGAAGAGGTCACCCACTCTCTTACTGGGTTCAGTTAAATCTGTTGTTACCCAGTCTGACCTCCACAGTATCTAGGTATTGTGAAAGGACGCCCATTACAGCACTTACTTCATCCAGGATGGAGATATATAATACAATTTATATAATAATGTCAGCATATTAGTAATATCTCATTCCATGGAGATGGATGATCTCACCCAGTGATCTCATGTAGATGTTGAAAAGGAGCACCGAGCCCTATAGTACCCCATAAAGGGACCGTGAGCTAGACTTTTCATTTCCTACCAACACCAGTTGGCCTTGGAAGGAGGGGAAACAGCACTTTTGGTGCTTTAGAAAATAGATTGACTCTCTCATTTTTGTAGGAGGCCCTCAAATTTCCTGACACAACAATTAATCAGTAGAACAACTTGCCTCCAGAAGTTGTAAATGCTCCAACACTGCAAGTTTTTAAGAAGAGATTGGATAACCATTTGTCTGAAGTGGTGTAGTGTTTCCTGCCTAAGCAGAGGCTTGGACTAGAGGACTTCCAAGATCCTTTCCAACTCTGTTATTCTATTCTATTCTATTCTAAATATTGAAATAGCACTATTTTATTGTGCTATTTTATTGTGAGTTGGACTAAGGAGAAATTTCCTAAGGGTGAGACCAATCAAGTTGGCCACGGCCATCCAGTCACATGACCACCCAGCCACGCCCACCCAGTCATTAGGGCAGAGAACCGGTTGTTAAATTATTTGAATCCCATCACTGACCTTTCCTATTTTGATATTTTTGAACCCTTAATCTTATCTAATTACATGTGGGAAAAGGTAAAGTATATCTTAAGTATATTTAGTAGTAAATGTGAATCAAGGAAAACATCCAAAGGATGTTCACTACCGTGCTTAGGACAGTCATCCCATCCAAAGGAAACACAGGAACTAGTTGACAATCTTGATGAATAAATGCAAACTCCATCTTATTTGGGTTTAGGTTCAGCATGTTTCTTCTCATCCCAGTCTCACGTTTTTAATTAGTCTACAGTCCTAATAACTTCTCAGATACCAAGTCCAATCCTGTTTAACTCTTTGTTCTCAACTGAGATCACCTGCCTGTTGCCAACTAACTCTTATTATTTTGATGCTGATACGTAATGACAATATAAACATAGATCTATATTTAAATTATTATTTGTAGATGAACTATGCATTTTATTACATTTCTTGTATGGAATTTTCTCAAGGGACAGATTACATTGAAAATTATTACTGAATCAAATATACTTCCATACCTCTTCATCTTGGTATCCTAGTTCTTCTTGTACAACTTGGTCTTCTACAGATTTCATTGTGAAAACAGAACTAATAGAATTCAGTCAGTGCTGCAGAAATCAATTCAATACTGCTAAAAAGCATAAATAAGCTAATTATTTTATGAGTTTTTGATGTTTATATTATGCTAACCTAGAAGGGGCTAAGTAGATTACTGAAATACATTAACTCAGATGAATTTCATTTCAAAATAAATATACCACTCACTACTACAGTGATCTGATCTTTGAATCAGCCCTGATTTAAATCTTTTCCAAGTAGATTTAAAAGGAGAAATAGATTACCAAAAATGTTGCAACATCATTTGAGATTTTTTTTTAAAAAATAGCTTTCATACCCAATTCACTGTAATTATGAATGCCTACAATACATGAAGGCAGTCCTCAAATACTATATATTTACTATATGTTTTAACTTATAGTAATATTCACAGTTCTTTGAATATTGTAAATTAGCATCCAGAATACGGGCAGTAATTAAAAATTTAAATCTGGAGATTTATGAAATTAATGGTAATGCTGTCCTTTTTAAAATAATGATTATCTCATACAGTTCTTTCACTTTCATGCTTGAAGAAAACCAAATGTCCCTCAAGAAAGTATGTTTAACTTGGCTAAAGTTGTGAGGTGATAATATTCTGAATGAAATTAATAAATGTACTTTAACAGAGACCCTAACTCTTGTGAGGAAAGGAAGGAAGCATAAAGCTATGCTTACTCAAAATGCATCAAACAACATATCTACCTGCTCTTATATTCATATTAATCTTTTCTATTTTCTAATTAATATTTAAATATTTTTATATATTAGGCTTCTTGTATTTTAGGACAAAAATGGTTAATTAAGCTCTTAGGATGTTTAATATATTTACAGTAACCTCCTGTGTTTTGAAACCGATTTTGATAAAACTGTTCTATGCAGTTTTAGATTTAAATATGCTTATACACACACAAAGTTCAGAAGCTCACTTTGTCCTATCAATAGGTGGAATAAAAGGAGGCAATCTGATTTAGCTGGAAGGCAAGGGAACATAGTCTGGCCAATTAAAGATAAAACCCATGGGTCGTTGTGCTGTTTGCAAGATAAAATCCCACATTAGCAATAGCAGTGACAATAAATGCAGCATATACCAATGTGGTAATAAAACTATGGTAACAATGAACTAACAGATTCACAGTGAATTTTATTATAGTGCAACGTATAACTTATCTAATCATTTTCAAATTACACTCCTAAAATACACAAATATAATTGTGTGTGTGTACATAGATAATAATTATGCAATATATCCATTACATAATTGTACATGTTACCATATACACATAAAAATGTTGCTCACTTCCATCATAAGCCACATTTTCCTGTCTAAATCTGCAATAGCCATCTAATAAATGAGAAATGATATATTGTTTAAAGTGCAACTTTGAAAAAAAAAACTAGTATACGGTATACAAGATATGTGTGATCCTCATCTTTCTAGAACACATTTTAATATCGATTTTATCTATGGAGGCCAACTCTTATTCTGGAGACTTGCTTCTGAAAGAAAGCTAGAAGTGTAAAATTTGCAAAGGCCTCTTATCTTCTGTAAAAAACAGTTACTTTTTTTTATCACAAAGGAGCTCAGAATGGCATATCAGTCTTCCCCTACTCAAACCTCTATTGCTTCCTCACCAGACATTCTGAATGCTATGAGGCAAATTAGATAGGTAAAGTTAGGCTCTGAGGTAAATTAGGTAGATGAAGTTTATCTCCTCTCAATTCTCTCTTCATGTCACTTTTATGCCAACTTGTAAATAACATTTTAGTAATTTTGGAAGTAAATTGGGCTGGGAGAGAAAACTTGGTGGTGGGGGAATAATCTGCAGCCTTAGGGACAGAGAGGTTGATTTCCCTTCACTCAAAATGCTGCTCAGACCTTGCTTTATATGCCACTGAGTTTGATGCAAGTTGACACGGACTGGCCTGCAGTTCAGACATCGACTTTGGAGGCACAATTTACAGCTGTTGGGAACAGAGCTCCCAAATTGGAGGGGAAAAAGAAATTAGCTTCTCAGACAATGTTTTTCAAATTTGGCTATGTTTTTCACTTTGCTATGTGTGGACTTCAACTCCCAGAATTCCACAGTAAATTGCCAAGATTGGGAAACACTGGCATACCATTCCAAAGGACACAGAATAATGGATTTAAAGAAAAGCTTCCTAACAATTAAGAGCGGAACAGAACAGCTTTTACTATTAGGATTGTTTTTTTTCTTCTGATCAACTAAAACTTCTTTAAGCTCAATTTTTCTTGGCATATTTTCAAGAACAACTTGATCAATTCTGCTGGGCTTCTATATAGTAGCCCTTCAGATACTTGGAGACCTATCATGTCTCTGTCTCTCCAGTTTTCCTTCACAAATGTAAACTTCTAGGCCACTAATTATCTTGATTGCTCTCCTCTGTATATGTTCCAGTTTAGGAATATCCTCTTTGAAAGGTAATACTCAGAACCTAATTAAATATTATATTTACAAAAAGAATAGAAATAATTTCATATATATATATATATAAATCCATATCTATTATTGTCATGATTTAATTACAACATAATTAAATTACAACATAATTACAACATTATAGACATACTAGTATAATACAATTTTTAATATTTGGAAATGCTCTTCTTTAAAAAGAGGTGCTCTTTTAAACTTCATTTATTGGGACTAATATGGAAGAACAAAGAAAAATAACACCTTGCACATTAGTTTCACTAGGAGCTAAAATGTAGAGTTCAGTTAACAAATTAAATATTCCAAACTTAGATATTGTAATTCTAAAGAAAAGTATTGTCATTGTGTATGCCTATTATGAAATTGATGTTAGAAAAGCTGCAAATAATCCAATTTAGAGTCAATATATTTTTAAACTGGACAAAGAATGAAAGAGATACAATAAAATCAAATGTAATGGGAAAGAATTATACGTATCATATTCAAAAGTAATAAAAGAAATTATATTCCAGTAGCATTCCTAAAACATTATCATATTCTTCCCCCTTAATGTAGTAGCGCTCATTTATTTCTAATTACATTTACATTTACATTTAGTACCAAATCTAGGTTCTTTAATTTTATTTAAATTGCCATTCTGTAACATGCTTCCAGTGAACTCAATCAATGTCAGTTCAAAAGGGGGGATCTAGGTTAATTACGGTGTTTTCCGGATGAATCTTTTGAAAACAGGGATGAAGGTTCTGAGCTATTCTGCCTATCCCTCAAAGAAAGCAATTCTTTTTGTTTTTGTGCTTTTCTCTTTTTCATCTCTTCTTTTATAGCTTCTCTGCAGAACAAGATAAGAGAAAAAATGAAATTTACTTGAGCATAAAGTAGCAGAAGAGAAATTATTTGAATTTTAAAACTGAGAAGAAATCTAGTTATGACTGCAGCTAAAGATTGAAGCAATATTTTCTAATAAAGCTCTCAACCAGGCAGCTCCTAAATGCTTGAAATATATGTATACATATTATGTACATACATAAAGCCTTTCACAATAAGTCCAAGTTGTGCTCTAGCTGCTTATGAGATACTGATTTTTTTTTCATAGAATAATGTATTTCACTCAAATATAATGAATGAGAGATTAAGATGAAGAGGTAACTGGGCTGCAAGAGTGAGGGTAGTATAAGAACTTGCTCCTGTCATTTTATTAAAAGTATTTAAGAGTTGAGTTCTCCAATATAGGAAAAGTACAATAATATATTTAAATTATTTGGATTTTTTCAAAATTAAAGATTTTTTTCCCTCTGAAATTATTCAGGAAAAGTATAACATCCACACAACAGAAATGCAATTCTTACAGAGTACGCATGGATGTTACAAAATAAAAGCTTGGATTTTGTTGAACTGTGAAGCTTAGGGCAAATCAAGAATGTAAATGTGGGAGCAAACAAATACAAAAATCCTTAAAGCAATGTATTGGGTTAGTGTAATGAATAATCCATAGTGGTCAATGAAGAAATAAGAATTAATAATAAATGCATTGTGTAAGAAACAGGGAATTTCTAGAGAGAGCCCTGTTTTGCTCATGTTGATATCATGATGCTAGAATTCCTTTCAATTCTTTATTAAAGCAATATCAGCTAATTCAAAAGAATGGGTAAGATTTCTTCATCACACAAGATGGTATGAAACAAAACTTGAAAGTCTAGAGGAAGAAAATAATGTGGCTGTTACACAAGCATATCTACATCCAGAAAGAGTTTTAAAATCTGGACATTATATGCATAAAATTACATAGCTTCAATATACTGTACACTTTGGGGTACCTGTAAAGTTCCTGGTTATGTTTATTCTGTTCATCAAATTTCCTCATTTCTCTGTATTGTTGCCAATAACATTTTCTGAAGGCTTTGTGCTTCTGATGGACGATATGAAAATTTTCCTTGATCACTTCTGCATATGTTTTGACAGAATCAGTGAATTTAAATGTAAAGGAAATTTCTACTTAGAATTTTTTTCTTAAGCAAACCACAAAGAAAAAGTAATGGGTTCCCAAAATGACCTAGATATTTATATGTAAATTTAACAATGCGTTTCTTAAATATTATACTGAAAAAAAATATAGTAGTTGAACGAAGAAGCTCAGTCTTAAGAATTTTCCATCAATACTTCTCTTCTGAACATCATAAGGATATGGCATTGGTTTGTATATCTCCCTCCTAGACAGAAAGATGTCACATCCTGATTTTGATTCAGTGCCGTGTTTCTGGAAGTAATGCTGAATTAGTGGACTGTGACCATTAATATTGAAACGATGCCATGTAAAGTCAGGACCATTGCAAGCTGGGTGTGACTAGAAAATAAACATACATGACTATTAGATCTATTACTAAAAGCAACATTCAGAATGAATATTTTTTATCAGGTGAATAATTATGCTACAACTTTGGCAATATATTTAAAATTGTTCACAATCTTTGGATCTTGTTTCTGTATAGTTGTCAAGAAAACAGCCAGGACATTCCCAATTAGTCTCCAAGAATTTAACATCATTGAACAGAAGAAAAAAATTATATGCATATATTGGTGAAATTCTCCTATGAATTTTGATAATTTTTCTCCATATATATGGTTTTTCTGATATTCAATATCCAAGTATCCTAATTAACTATTACATAATTCATCTAAATGTAGCCAGTCTTTCTAAATGAGTGATGTTTATTGTCAGGCTGACTCTGAACCCATCACAATCTCAAGGAGGTTGATACTTGAATATGAACCAACCCAAACATAAGGTTGAACAACTCTCAGATTTGTAAAATGTTTCTGGATCATTAGTTCATTTTAGACAAATTACTTTCATTACCTGGGAGAGAGCTGATTTATTTTGCCACAAAATAAATCAAGCAAATATATGTTGAAATAATTGAAAAGAATTAAGTTATGATGTCAAAGGGTGATTTGAACAAGAGTAAGTAATACATTCTTATTTTATACAGATCCATCAATAATTACTTTATTTTATCATTTTTATTATCCATAAATAATGTCACCTCTCGAGGAAGCATAGCTATCTTTAGTTTCTTTTTGGGTAAGTTCTGGTGTCTGCTCCATGCAGCTTTCTCATTATCCTCTTTAAGTTGGTCACTACTTGATGTAGTATGCTTTATTTCTAAAAAGAGCACTCATTTGATAAGTATTAATCTATTAGGAGTTATATATTCAAATAACCATCAATCAATAAATAACATATACAGTTTACTTTCCCAAGGAATTATTACTCATATTCAAGTATTGAAGAAAAGTGACCTCATGGATGAGCAAATCCATATTTTATTAGCAGACCACAATCAGAGTTTTTCACTACACTTATTACCATATCCTGGAACAAATAGGCTCCCAAAATAAATTTCATTCAGTTGGAGCTATAGAATCATAATTTTCTCAATCACTTTATTTGAAAATTGAATATTTGAGACTGGCCTATAATTAGAAAACTCTTCCAGAACAATGGAATGCTGATTTGTGTAGGGGTCACATTTATTTATGTAGATGAACAGTTGTACATCTATGAATACCTGTATTAGATTTATTAGATGAGCTCATCTCATCAAATCTAGGCAGCATAAATTACATGCATTTTTAGATGTGCAGATCAGTAAAAATACAAAATATAATTTTCTATCTGTATTATTAAGGTTTAGCAAGGATTTTATTAGTTTTTTTTAAAGAATTCATAGAAAAATATGTAATTAACTGCATTTATATCTTATATAGTAATATACGGAATCTTTCTGCTAATGCAGTTCAAAATCTTATAGCGATAGCACTTAATCTTATATACCGTATTTGCCGGCGTATAAGACGACTGGGCGTATAAGACGAGCCCCCAACATTTCCACTCAAAATATAGTTTTTGTTATATACTCGCTGTATAAGACGACCCCCCCACTTGGAGGCATGTTTTTCAGGGCAAAAAAGTCATCTCATACGCCGGCAAATACAGTAAGTTGTAACACTTGGGGTATTCTGGATATAATTCTTGATTGACACCCCCGCCCCTTTCCCCCAAACTTACAAAGCCACCAAAATGCTTTAGAGAGGCAGCTTCGCCTTTCTCAGGCTGGCACTCAATTCCTCTCCCTTTCTTTGTGACAGCCCCCGCGTGCGTGCCATCGGGACTCCAAGGGTGGGGGATGGACAGCTGCCAACTCTCTCTCTCTCTCTCTCTCTCTCTCTCTCTCTCTGTGTGTGTGTGTGTGTGTGTGTGTGGTGTGGAGGGTAATTCCGGCTATCTCTGGCCTCCGCTCGGTTTTAAAGTCGCTTGGCCGGTTCCCAAGTCGCAAGCGCGCGCTGGCCGGGAGACGCGGCGCCGGGTGGAAGATCGGTGCAGGGGAGGCGGATCTTTCTCTCTTAAGCGGGGAGGGGAGGAGGGGACAAGAGGAGGGACGGGATGGGACAGGGGGCGGGAGGAGGTCCCTCGCCTTCTTCCACCGCCCACCGCCCCTTTTCTTCCCAAGGGGACCCTGGAAAGCAGCTCAGGAGCCGGGTGGCCCTGCTTAATATTTATTAAGTTATTACGCGGCTCGGGGCTGGCTGGGCGAAGTGGCCCCACCAGAGACCCTCCCGCTCCACCCCCACCCCACCTCCAGATTGGACTCCGCAAGCGCCCCGAGCCGGGCGGAGGGTGGGTGGGTGGGTGGGTGGGAGGAGGAGGAAGAGAGACTCTGGCTGGGCTTGAAGGGGCTTCGCAAGTTGCGGAGCTCCGCCCCCATCGCTCTTGCACCGAGTGACAACGTATTTACCGGCGTATAAGACGACCCCCCCACTTGGAGGCATGTTTTTCAGGGCAAAAAAGTCATCTTATACGCCGGCAAATACGGTACTACTTACAGCTATTATTTTCACTCCCAAAATTATCAGAATTAGTTTAAAGGTGATCTTTGATTGTTCTGCCAAACTGAAATGCTGAAAACACACTTATTGTGGTGTGCAGCAACACAAATCTCCTTACCATCACCACCCTACCAGGGGGAAAGGAAAAACAAGACAAGACAAGAACTTTGGGAAACTGGCTACTGTAGTGGAGTTACAAAACTATTAAGCTAGATGAAGTTCCACAGCTAGGAAGAGAGAAGAAACAAAAATGCTTGTAATCTTTGGGGAAACAAAGAACATTTTAAAAACAATTGTAAAACAATTGTAGCTTCACAGCGTGTTCATCTGTAAATCAACAATGCTAATGGTACAGAAATAAACCAGTGCAGAACCTCTTTGCTTCCATACAATCCTTAGATAAATGCAGTACTTTATTATCTAGACATATGCTAGTCAAGTTTTGTGATAAATATCAGCATTACAAGATTATTATCTTGTGAATTCTCTGCAAACTAACTAAATGAAGCATATTTGTATCTTTCTGTCATAGGAATATGGTTGCATGATATATGAAAATAAGATCCCTTTTTATAATTGGAGAGACGATGATGATAATATCCATTTATTTGGAGAGAGCATTCTACATTATTATTGCTTACTTAGTCTGAAAATGAAGTCATACATACATTATTAAAGTTGGTATTATAGAAAATTCTGCAGATGTTACCTTCACTTTCCAATACGATAACTTTTTTGGAAAGCTGCTTTTGACCTTTTTTCTCAGATACAGATTTCTTGCCTTTTTTAATAGATAGGTTAAATGTTTTCCTTGATGGAATCTGTTTCAAAAAAAGAAAGATGAAAAAAACATAAATATAATTTCATATTAGAAGATCAGACTAGGAAAGAGAACTGGAGGTGCATTACAATCTGATTTATGGGTTGGTACATTTTTCAAAGAAAAATAGAGTTTAAATATATTTGGCAATCTAAGATCCTCTGCTCTTTGAAAAGAAGCAAAATAATTGTGCATGATTTCTTGCTACAAACATTGTTTTGATTTTTTTTGTAAAAATGTATTCTTAATAGCATTACATTCAGCTTTAGCATTTGGTAAATTCTTTTTTTCTTCATATCCTGAAAAAAATAAAAATGGCTTTATTTCCAACTCTAAATCATATTTTACCTTCTGCAAATGAGTCTTTCCTATAGCACTGTATTGCTTGTAGCTTTCAAACGATATACCAGTGCCTATAGAGATGAAAGAAATATGAAATTTAATCAATAAAGGCTGGTATATTCTCCTTGCCTTGAATCCAGTGCATGCTGTCTACAACAGTGGTCGCCAATGGGCTGCGAGAAAATTTTGGTGGGCTGCAGAGAAATCTCACCCCCAGAGCACCCCCAAAAGCAATTAATCCAGGCTATGCAGAAACACAAGACTGCGCCACCCAAATGGCCCGCGGGAACCCTCCCTGCCCACTCACTCCTTAACTGGCCAACTTGCCTGCTAAATTGCTATTTTTCCGACCATCAGGTGTTCTGCTGTGCCAGGAGATTTAGATTAGCTAGGAAGCAGGAAATGGTTGAATTTCTTGCTTTCTAGCTAGTCTTTAGATCTTTGGCTCTGCTTTTAAGCACAGCCGAACCTCCCTTAGGACTGAAGGTTCTATTATTCAGTGCAGACTCATGGCAAGCAAATTTTATGTGACAGACTCAGGTAGCTGATGGAGATAGATAGATCACTGAATGAATCTGTGAGCAACTCAATCTGCCTGCCTCCTTCCCCTGATTTTGGTAAAAGTTGCTCTTTTTTTATACAAAATTCAATATTTATATAAATATTTATAATATTTATATACAAGACATGCCCAGCCAGTCATGACCACCAAGCCACACCCACAAATTAGGCCACACCCACAGAACCAGTTAGTGATCCCTGGGCTTTAAAATTATGAGTTTGGTGGTCCCCGAGGTCCAAAAGGTTGGCAACCGCTGCTCTACAACATTGTATTGCAACCTATTTTCAAGAGAGGCTGTGATGAAAACATATAACCTATAGGCTAGTTTTCATCTCTAAGGCATATTATGATCAGGGTTGTTTTAACTTGCCATTTATCCACGTGTGGAAAATTTCAGGTATTATGCAGGTACATAATCCTGAAAAAATTAAAGCAAGTGTCTAGGCTTATATTACAGTTAATATGATAGAGTGAGTTAAAAAGTAATAAAAGGACTTGCAATAGCTATTTACATCCAGATGTTCACCTTCTACAAAATCTCAGACAAGATTGTCCACCATTTTCAGATTAATCTATTTACTATAGATTAACTTTGCTTTAAGACAGGGGTCTTCAAACTTGACAGCTTTAAGACTTGTGGACTTCAACTCTCAGTCCACAAGTCTTAAAATTGCCAGGTTGAAGACCCTTGCTTTAAGATGTATGTATGATTAATGTTTTTACTAAAACTTTTAATTTTGAAAACTCAAAAGAAAATATGGTAGGTCTAATTTGTACTGCTTTAGACCATTGATCTATCCAGCCTTGCATTATAATCTGCCAAGAAGAGTCAATATTTCTCATATTCTCTATTGAAATACTATTATTTGGAATATCTAAAATTGCAGTATTCTATAATTAAATCATATATTTAGCACTAATCCATGACAACTATACAAACCTTGATTTCATTTTGACTCCTTAGCATGGTTGAACTTTAATAGAAGGGGGAACTGGCATATTGTTTAAATTTTACTGATGTAACACAATATAATGGTTCATAATGAGAAACTACTTTATTTAAATCAATGACTACATAAGAAAGAAAACATAAATGTTATCAAGATTTTACCAGTCCCTAATTTTTTCTTTCTTGACATCAAATCTTCTCTCCTTGACCGCTCTGGTTCCAGCTGGGAGTAATCCCATTTATAGAAACTTCTTGGTTCGCGCAGTGTACCTAACAAGGTTGTGCCAAAAGGGATTCATAGTGAAAATCATAATCTAGTGGATGATGTTGGTATAATTTAGATTTTATGCTGAAACAAAAGGAATGAGAGGAAGAAATTGACGGGAGACCACAATTAAAACAATTTAAAGAACCAAATGAATACAACATAATGCATTTTCAAATAGCATGTTGTATCTGATTATTTAACAATCATATAAAGGGACTGATATTTATTGTTCCCAAGCAGTCTCTATTCAGGCAACCAAGAGGGATAGTTTCAGCACTACATTTTCCCCCCAGATTATGAACCATCTGGGTTCATAACTGGGAAAAAGCCTTTGGCACATACATCTGCAACTTGGGCCATCCTAATATGTTGAGATTTCAGCTCATGATTTCTAAGCAGCCCAAACAACACAGCTGAACTTTAACTCATCTGGAAAGTAGTAGATTATGGTTGGCTAGCATGTAATATATATTGGTAGACAATGACAGCCATCCTAACAAAAGCTTCCTAGGGCAGCTGAATTCCAAGTATTCAAAAAATAGAAAAAATTTGAAGAACCTTTTTTAGATTTTTTTGCCTGATGTACTGCAGGATAACTGTTAAAGGGTTATACCACAAGAAGTTAATAAAACACTGCAGCATAGGTGTGGAGTGTGCTGTCTTCTCTATAAACAGCATTCTTCCATATGCCATATTACATGCTGTGTTACCTAGTTGACATAAGATTGTGCTTAAGAAATACAAGGACAAATTCTCTTGGTATATAACTAGTCGAAACAACAAAGAATCTTAAAACATTTTAAAGAATTATTATTATGGCATACTTTGGTCTCTAGTTCACAAAAAACTATGCCATAATCAATATTTTTGTTGCAATAATTTAAAGTAATTTTTGGAAAGTGTAAGTGTGGTTCCTATCTAGATGAGTAAAGTATAACTGAGGGGCAGTGATATTTCATGTTTTGACATACCACATGATAAAAAAATATATGAATTCTTGGTCAAAATCTATAAGATCCACTCCTTGAGTAAGAATATGATGGCATCTCACCTCCCAGCCACTCGAAGAATACATCACAGAGCTGGGCCTTGAATTCAGAGGTATTAAACCAGGACCTCGGGAAACAGGAGCAGAAGCAGATATACACAGCTTGACATAGTAGTGATGGAAAAAACTAAAACCCAAACAAAGCAGGAGGGGGAGAAAATCTCAAATAAATCTATGGCAATTGTATTTGAGAATTTAAATTTCTCAGCCAATTAATTCTCAGTCTATGTTATAAGAATATCAAACCTCCTTAAAACCTTTTTACAAGTCCCCATTGGCAGAAAATTATCATCTTCTCTTTTAACCTTCTGTAGGAGAGTAACTGGCAGAGCCAGGGGGGAAGAGCCAAATGGGGACTTAGTCTAGAATCCCTGTGTGGGCACGAGGCTGAGGTCCGACCCTCCCCCCTTGAATACTGTTGAATCTTAACTAGTTTTGCCCAGGTACAAACTAAGAAGATTTCTGTGCATAGGTTTGAGCAATGATTTCTTTCAGTAGAAATTACTGCATAATTATTTAAATGATGATGTTTAGTCCTCAAAACCATAGCTTGCCACAAAGGTAAGGATACAAAATGTCTGTATATATTGTTGGAGGATTAAATTACAGTAAAAAATGTCGATGACTACATAGATACTGAGTTGGTATTAATGAAAACTAGAGAGAACTTTCACATTCAGGTGAACTTCCATATTCCTTGAAAACCAGATCCTAGAAATAAATACCATAACAGAGGAAAGCTGTTGCTAGATACTGACCACTTATGGAAAAAAAATCCATAGATTAAGTTCATCTTAATTTTTATCTAATTTTCCTAGGAGGAGAAAGTATTAATATTCATTGGAAATGAAGAGATGGCACACATTTTATACAATAAAAAGCCATGTTGATTATTGAAAAAGAAATATTAAGTAGTGTTCCAGTTTTAACCCTTACATTTAAAATTTCTTCCTGTATTTCTAAAATTTAAATCATATCACTCTTAAGATTTGGTTTTAAAAAGATAACACTAATATTGCTTATAGTCCAGAATTTCTTAAAATTCTTTACTCACCGTGAGGATGCATTCCTGATTGGAAGCCCTGCCTAATAGAATGAGGGCATAATTTTCTGCAATGCGTTGAAACAAATGCCCCTGAATTTCTCGATTTGGCTATTGGGAGAATTATAAATTGCAGGATTATTGAAAGCATATTTATTTAACCACAGTGTCATGGCAATGTAATATTAGGAAGGAAAACTAGTTACAAGATGCTTAAGATAAAAGCATCATTAGATGAAATGGGACTGCCTCTGAGAAGTATAGATAGTCCTTGATTTACAACAATTATAATAGTACTGAAAAATGTGACATGTCCATTTTTCACACTTACAAACATTGCAGCATCCCCATGGTCATGTGATCAAAATTTAGACTCTTGGCAACGGACTCATATTTTGACGGTTGCAGTATCCTGGGATCATATGATCACTTTTGCAACTTTCTGACAAGCAAAGTCACTGGGAAAGCTGGAAGGCAGGCAGGCAGGCGGGAGGGACGGAGAAGGGGAAAGAGAAGGGGAAGGGAGGGAGGATCATATACTGTATTGGTTTTCCAAAAATGTGATAGACCGACAGACATCTGATTCTTTCCTCTTGCACCATCCTTGTAGAAATCTTGTAAGTTTGATGCCCTTGAGTTGCAATATTCACATTTTTGAGATATATGATCAGATACTTTTTCTCTCCCCTCTACAAAATTGTTAACATAATGCATTAGTGAATGCCATAAATATGTACTTCACTGGCTTTAACAACATCATTAACATTAATTAACATTATGTGGTACAGAATCAGAGAGTTGGAAAAGTAAGCTGCAGGTAGTCCTCGACTTACAATTGCAACTGAGCCCCAAATTCCCATTGCTAAGCAAGGCAGTTATTATGTGAGTTTTGCTCCATTTTATGACCTTTCTTGCCACGGTTGTTAAGGGAATCACAGCAGTTGTTAAGTTAGTAACATGGCTTTTTAACTGAATATGGCTTTCCCATTGACTTTGCTTGTCAGGAGGTTGCAAAAGGTGATCACCCTACTGCCAATTGCCAAGTGTCTGAATTTTGATCATATGACCATGGGGATGCTGCAACAGTCCAAAGTGTGGGAAATGGTCAAAAGTTACTTTTTCAGTGCCACTGTAATTTTGAACGTCCATAAATGAATGGTTGCAAGTCAAGGACTACCTGTGCGGCTATGAATGCAAAAATCCAAATTAAAGCAATAGTTATAAGACTTTTTAAAAAGTGTTATAGTTTTTCTTTGCCAATATTAAAAATTTTTGAATAGGTTATTATAATTTTATAATTATATAGAACATATTAGAGATATAGATAGTGCTACATTTGGAATACCTCTATTTTAAAACAAATGGAACAATATAAAAATGGTGAACCAAAAATGAAAAATTGGAGAAATGGAATTTAATAATCTAATCAGTAACCTTATCCTTATCCTTACATGATACAAGTGCAGGAATTGCCACCAGAAACTATCCAGCAAAACAGCTCGGGTGCACGGAACATCAAAAAACCTATGCAGCATTTTCACAGCCCACTTCGTCTGTAAAGAAACAAGAGTGACAGCATAGTCTAGATCTGTATTCTCTTGTGTTATGATCCCTCCACAGGTGTGGAACTGCAATTCCCCGACTTCCCTGTATGCATAGACAAAGCCTGGCAATAATGGGACTAGCTATTTTGTACCTCTGGAGAAGGTCAGCTGGGAACTACTAGTCAAAATATCCTCAGAACTGACTGGAAAGAATATTTTATGGTACATTTACTCCCTCGGGGGCCTAATCAGAACTATGTTAAGCAGTCATAGCAAGGGGTTTCAGTTATCTTGAATCTCAGCTCTCCAAACTGAGCTAATCTGAATAAGTAAGGACAGTTAAAACCTGAAAAAAAATAATTAAGATCATGCTCTCCACTAAATCAATTCACATTATAAAACTGGTTCCGTCTCAATCTGTAAATCACAAAAGTTGTTCCTTGAATCCTTGATTTATATTCTGATCTTTGACCTGAAATTTCCAGTTCTGGATGTAATGACAAACATTTCACTATGAACATTTTTAATCATAATAAGACATAAGGGAAAATGAAATAGGGAAGAACAACCTATTTCAACCTTTATCCTGTGTCAATGAGTGATGACAAGTCTTTTGTTCTTATCAAGTGGCTATGTCTAGATACTCTGTTAATTAGAAAAGTAACTAGATCTACCATACTGAAGCTGAGCAAGGAAAAAAAAAACCTGTGCAATCATCACCATTGTCCATTATGGCTACTTATAAATAGCAGGTGCTAATAGACATTAAAACAAGTAAATATATCATTAATCTATCCCTATTATTTTTACCCAGAAGATAAGAGTATTGCCACATAAACCTGAAGGTCTGAACTACCTTCCCAACTGCAGTTTTACTCTGAGCACGAATCACTTTCTCCAAAATTTCATTTAGCTCTATTCCATTGGGCAGTGGTGTGGGTTCCTCTTCATGATATCCTGGGTAATGATACAACTCTACAAGTTTATTCTTTTCTGTGCTCATCTAAGGATGAAAGGAAGGTATAATACATGAGAAACATAGGAGGCCTACACTTTAATACGTTCTACTCAAGCAATCTGTTTAGGGAAAAAATGAATGTCCTCCTGCCTAATAAAGCCGGTGTGGTTGGCTACCTTTCAATCAAGTTGCACTATTGTTCAGAATATATTAAGTTCAATGTAATGTGTTAGTAAATAAGTCAGACTAGGGACTCACTATACCAAGCAAATTAAGCCCCAGTTATTCTTGCAGTGATGACCTAAGCAGGATTCAGGTCTTGGATCTGACTAAAGAAGACATTGTAAGAGGCTAAGTAACAGTTACCATTATAGAACAATAAATCAGAACATATTACTTTATGCTTCCTGATCTTTATAGAACTTATTGATTAAATCTGCTTGTGCAGAGTGTGACTATGGGCCAAATAAATTTTCATAACAATGTTTACTATTATAATTATGAATACTGTGTTTTATTTAATTATTAGGAACATAGTATTGTTATTTTTGTACAGCTATATTTTGTCCAACCTCAAACCATGAGATTCATAACTAAGGCTAGATCTTCCTTTAGCAGGAAAGGCCAGCATTAATGTACCAAATAAAGCTGTATAAAGTCATTCCATGTCCCGCTATGGTAAAAATTGAAACAAAGGTTGGTTCCTGGTAGATAAAAGAAAGTAAATTGTCGTTTACACCAATCGGGGCTTACTTTTCTGGACTTGGCAGCAAGTGCAGCTAGGAGAAAGATTTTGTCAGGGTAGGTAAGGATTATCTTCCACACACAATGATTCTAACAGAATTCATACCCACATGTTCTAATAATTATCTACCAGGTGTTACATTTCATGCCTGGTTTGGTCTTCAACCACAACTCTTATTTACACTATGGGGTTGATATAGATACTGGGTTATTTTATACACTACATTAAGATAATGAATGTAGAAACTTTTTGAATGTAATATGAAATAGGGTTTTTATGACTTAATTAGAAGTCATTAACAACCACTAATCTTCTATGTAATGTATAAATACATATTATGGTTAGTAGTTGAGGAAACAAATAGAAAGGAAGAAGATCTATTAACTATGCCTTTTTCTTTTTTGAAATCTATATATAGTGCTTCTTTTGTTCTGTCTCATTTCTTTGCCTCCTTTTATATTTCAACATTTTAACAATAATTTTTTTAAAAATATATTTTTGAAAGTTCAAAACTATAAAGAGTGGGGAATGATTTAACATCTAGAGGTGAGGCCAAATCTTCAGTGGGTGTGGCAATAATATAAAACGAATATAAATATGTCTGTATACTACTAAAACTCTATTGTCTGTAACTTTTACTTTAAACAAGTTTTATTAAATTTTTCAAAACAACATAAAAAAGGCTCTTTTCAGTGTACAACATAATTCCAAGTCACCACTTTTACATGAAAATATGACAGTAATTATATATTCATTTTTACATTCAACATTCTGTCTTGTCCATTTTTAACTTAATTCTATTATTACTTCTCCATTTCAACTTTTACATAAGAAAAGAAACAAACACATTAATTCTGTTAAGTGATATTGCTTTCATTCTAAGCATCTTCTCAATTCATTTCAAATATATTTCTTAAACATTAACATTTCTTTTAAGCGTGGCCTTTTCCAAAGTACTCTTTTCTCATGTTACCACTCAACTTTTATATAAGAAAAGGAACAGGCAAGTTAATGCTATTCATTAATATTACTCTCATTCTAAACATCTTCTCAATTCATTTCAATTTATTTCAAATGTATTTCTTAAGCCTTAACATTTCTTTTAAATGTTGCCTTTTCCAAAGTACTCTTTTCTCATTAAAATCACTAATAGTTTCCATATCTTCATACTTATTCCCTTTTAATTCTTTTTTATCTTGTCAAATTTGCATTTCCATCGCATATTCTTTTCATAAAATCTAGATTAATACAAGTTTTTCACATAAAACAAAACATAAATTTCCCCTCCCCTTTTACTAGTTTGGGGTGTCACCTCAGTGGTAGTATGCCTTAATTCCCTCATCTGTAATTCCCAATTAAACATCTATTTTACTTAGTTATAGTAATAATTAATCCCTAGAAAAATAAACTACTTTACATTGTACTTTTCAGTCAGATTCTGCAATGTATTTTCTCCCTTTACTTCCATAAAATTTTATTTATGGTATCAAAAAAAAAGAAAGAAAGAAAGAAACAATTAATCCATTTTGCTTGGTCACTGATATTAATCTCATTTTTAAACTTCCTCACAATTCATTCCAATCATTTCAATATATATAATAAACATTAACCTTTCTTGTAACAATAAAAATAAGAAAATGCATTCATCTTCTAAATAGATATCAGTGCCCCTCCCTCCTCTCAATAAACTATATTCTATAATTTGTAATTGCAAAGTACATTATTATTACCCCTCATATCAATGCGGAATCCCCTCTTAATTCATTTACCATTGTCCCGATATATTCTAGGTAAAGAAATTTTTTCCTTTATTTTACAATTCCCATATTTCTTTCTTTCCTGTTCCTGTTCCTCATTACCTCTCTTCCCTTTTGTTTTTCCAAATCTTTTCTCCCTCTGATTTATATCCCTCTCTCTATATATACACTGCTCAAAAAAATAAAGGGAACACAGAAATAAGACATCCTAGATCTGAATGAATGAAATATTCTTACTAAATACTTTGTTCATTTCATAGTTGAATGTGTTGACAACAAAATCACACAAAAATTATCAATGGAAATCAAATTTAGCAACCCATGGAGGTCTGGATTTGGAGTTACACTCAAAATTAAAGTGGAAAAAAACACCACAGGCTGATCCAACTTTGATGTAATGTCCTTAAAACAAGTCAAAATGAGGGTCAGTAGTGTGTGTGGCCTCCACATGCCTGTATGACCTCCCTACAACACCTGGGCATGCTCCTGATGAGGTGGTAGATGGTCTACTGAGGGATCTCCTCCCACACCTGGACTAAAGCATCCCCCAACTCCTGGACAGTCTGTGGTGCAACGTGACGTTGGTGGATGGAGCGAGACATGTCCCAGATGTGCTCAATTGGATTCAGGTCTGGGGAATGGGCGGGCCAGTCCATAGCATCAATGCCTTCGTCTTGCAGGAACTGCTGACACACTCCAGCCACATGAGGTCCAGCATTGTCTTGCATTAGGAGGAACCCAGGGCCAACCGCACCAGCATATGGTCTCACAAGGGGTCTGAGGATCTCATCTTGGTACCTAATGGCAGTCAGGCTACCTCTGGTGAGCACATGGAGGGCTGTGCGGCCCCCTAAAGAAATGCTACCCCACACCATTACTGACCCACTGCAAACCAGTCATGCTGGAGGATGTTGCAGGCAGCAGAACATTCTCCACGGTGTCTCCAGACCCTGTCACGTCTGTCACATGTGCTCAGTGTGAACCTGCTTTCATCTGTGAAGAGCACAGGGTGCCAGTGGTGAAGTTGCTAATCTTGGTGTTCTCTGGCAAATGCCAAACGTCCTGCACGGTGTTGGGCTGTAAGCACAACCCTCACCTGTGGACGTTGGGCCCTCATACCACCCTCATGGAGTCTGTTTCTGACCGTTTGAGCAGCCACATGCACATTTGTGGCCCGCTGGAGGTCATTTTGCAGGGCTCTGGCAGTGCTCCTCCTGTCCTCCTTGCACAAAGGTGGAGGTAGCGGTCCTGATGCTGGGTTGTTGCCCTCCTACAGCCTCCTCCACGTCTCCTGATGTACTGCCCTGTCTCCTGGTAGTGCCTCCATGCCCTGGACATTATGCTGACAGACACAGCAAACCTTCTTGCCACAGCTTGCATTGATGTGCCATCCTGGATGAGCTGCACTACCTGAGCCACTTGTGTGGGTTGTAGACTCTGTCTCATGCTACCACTAGAGTGAAAGCACCGCCAGCATTCAAAAGGGACCAAACCATCAGCCAGAAAGCATAGGAACTGAGAAGTGGTCTGTGGTCACCACCTGCAGAACCACTCCTTTATTGGGGATGTCTTGCTAACTGCCTATGCTTTCCACCTGTTGTCTATTCCCTTTGCACAACAGCATGTGAAATTGATTGTCAATCAGTGTTGCTACCTAAGTGGACAGTTTGATTTCACAGAAGTGTGATTGACTTGGAGTTACATTGTGTTGTTTAAGTGTTCCCTTTATTTTTTTGAGCAGTGTATTTTCCTTCTCCCTTTACTTTTCTGCTGTTTCTTTCTGTCTTTCCGATTTTTATAAATATTCCCTATTTTAGTTACTTTTTTAAATATCCCATTTTTAACCCCCCTTCTTTTTCCTCTTCTTTGTGGTGTTCTTTGTGTTGATTGTCTATTTAAGATGGCTTCTTGAGTTTCTTCTTCATATTCTTCAATCGCCATTTCCATAGCTTTTAACTCAGAGGCAAGTGATTCACCTCTTGAATGTAGTAGTTCTTTCAAATTTTTAAGTTCCATTTTTAGATCCCGCAGAGATATTGTTACACACTCTTATATCTTATAGTCATTAAAATCCAACAATCACCAATCTTTTTCTTTTTTCTTCTTCAAACTTTCTGGATTAACAACTATTCCCGAACTGGGTTTATAGCAAAATCACCAATCAGTCCAACAATCCATATTTTTTCTTTTGTTCTTATTCAATTTTCACTTTTTAGGGTACTTGTTATATTGTTTCAATATTTCCTTTTCGTTGTATGAGATCCGATTCATAGAGAAATAGGAACTTTCCCTCAGCTTAAATTTTTGTCCACCAGATGGCACTCTCCATTATACAATGTCCTCACCTTTTCCCCCGTTTTATTTGTTCGGGTTTTCCAAACCTCGGTATTCCAAAGCAATAAAATCTTCAATTTAAATATTTCCCCCTTCTTTTTGAAAACTCCTAAGTCCAGCTTTAAATTGTGCCTGTTTGTTAGCAATGTATTTTAATTCAATTTGTTTGGATATCTTGTTCCGGCTTCTTCCAATCCTGGTTCGAAGCCCTGCTCAGCTGTCAAAGATATTTTCACTCTTTTTCCCTTTCCCTTTAAAAATCTGCCGCTTTATTATTCTTTCATAAAAATTCTTAAAATACCGTTCTGGGGTACCTTTTAATTAATTGTTGCACCAAGTTGTCCAGTTCTTATGTTGTCCACCTCTTTCTTCTCTCCTGCACAAATCTTAGTGCAGCTAAGTCCTCCTCTTCAGGGTGGCCATTTTAGACCACTGCTCGGTGGTCTTCAGGGGGAAAAATTGCCTAGCCTAGGGAGGGGGGATGTGGCTCCCCTGGACCTGGCTGGCAGCTTTCCCTTACTCCGCCACCCCTCCGAGGCAGCTTCAGCCCCTAATCACAATGATTGGGGCTCTCCAACGAGAGCACGGACCAAAGCTGCGGACAGTCGCAGTCCCCAGTCCGTCGACGAGAAGGGCTTAACTGGCTAATCTATTGTCTGTAACTTTTAACTATGTTGAAACAGTGTAACATAGAACAAAATCTTTTCAACCAAGGTACCTCGTATGGGCTAACTTATAAAATCCTTCCAAAATCTGGGACCCATGACTCCCAAAGAACTGAAATTTGGCAAATCTTATAAAATTATCATAAAATGTTTTATGACATAATACAAAATATTATAAAACATTTCTTGTGTCAATTCCTGATATTTGATTGTATTATACAAGTCAGTATGACCTTCTTTCAAGGCAGATGCATCTCTGGATATCTCTCTGAATTTTTTTTTTTAAATAAACTTTATTTACAAGAATTAAAAACATAAAAATTTAAAAATACAAAACCAATAATGTATACATAACACTTTACATTTGATATCGAATTTGATACGGCCTGATAATCGTTACTAATACTTCTCACATTTCCATTAACTATCAAATCTTAATCACTACGTAACTTGCAATACTCTACTAATCTTCCCGTTGGATTATAACTATCTATTAATTAATAATAAATTCATAATTTTTGAATAGTAAATAAAAAGATATAATGAATATAATAATAATAATATAGAAGAAAAGAATATTTCACACCTTTGTTATTCTTGTACATTTCATAAAGAACGTTGCATATAATTTGTTTCTAGGGTTCATTTACGTGTTTTCCCTTTACGGTCTACCCAGTTGTACCATTTGTCCCATATCCTATAATAATCTGTGTCCTCCTTCTCACTGATTTTGAGTGTGAGCCTCTCCAATTGGGCACACTCATACGTTTTTTGAATAGTAATATGTATCGGTGGTACATTTGGATTCTTCCAATATTTTGCTAATGAAATCCGTGCCGCTGTCAATAAGTGAATGGTCAGATATCTTACTTTAGGAGTATAATATTCCCCTTTAATCTTCCCAACAAGAACAGTTCAGGTTTCCACTCCAGCCCACACTCTATATTTTCTTCTATCCACTCTTTTATTTTTAACCAATATTTCTTTGTCTCAGGACAGGTCCACCATAGATGGAAATAAGTACCAAATTTACCTTTGCATTTCCAACAGCATGGGTTTGCTGTCGGAAATATTTTGGCCAATCTAGAGGGTGCCAGATGCCATCTATACATCATTTTGTACAAATTCTCCTTATGTGCCACTGATTTAGTTAGTACGAGGTCTTGTTGTCAAATTTCTTCCCAGTCATCCAGATCTATATTGTGACCAAATTTTTTCCCCCAGGCTAATATAGGTCCTTTCATGATTCTCTCAGCCATTTCATGTTCTAATACAGGGATCCCCAACCTTTTCGACGCCGCGGCCCGGTTCCGGCGTCAGCTGGGCGCCGCGGCCCGGTTCCGGCGTCAGCTGGGCGCCGCCATTTTTTTTTACGAAAAATCACTTCCGGTGACGTCACCGGAAGTGATTTTTTCATCAAAAAAAATGGCGGCGCCCAGCAACCAGCGGCCCGGTAAGGGTTGTTCCGCGGCCCGGTACCGGTCCGCGGACCGGCGGTTGGGGACCCCTGTTCTAATATATAATTATATAGCTTAGAAATCAACCCTTTCTCAGGACTTGAGAGTATTTTGTCTAAATGCGTATCTTTTGCCTCAATTCTATATTCCTTTACATCTTTATTATATCTCAATTTTACTCTGAATTTTAAGCACTTTTCAAGTACATTAGAAGCTCTGCTGAAAAACTCAGTGCTAGAGGCTTGAGGAATCTGGTAAGGAAATATTTCTGAAATGATGATCCAAGGTTTCATTGGTTATTTAATATTGCATATACATGGAGAAGGCTTTTATTTTTTTCTTTACTTTCAGAGTTTCTTGTTTCTTGTTTTTTATAACTACTTTAATTTTATTTTAAAGGATTCCCACTATGCTTACTTGGTATTTTGCCTAAATATGGTGGGAAATTATACTGAAAAGTTGCAGTAAGCGGAAAAATTTTGGGGCCATAGATTGCTTACCCTACTAAATGCTAAATACTATTAGGACACATTTATAGTATTTTTGAGAGATGCACATAATAGATGTTTTCTACAGAAGCTCCCAGAATTCCAAGTAAGTATAATAAAATATTTTGCAATATTAGCATAATTAATGCAATAGGTTACAAATTGTAGTTTAATAGTCACTAAACATAAAGATCCCTATCCTGCATGATTTCTTCATAGCATACATCTCACAGTAAAATGTATATTAACTAACCATTAAGAAGAATATAGCTTCTAAATACTATATACTATACTTATAAGAAACAGTGACTTTTGATTTGTCACTCAGTATCATACCTTTTTCTGAGCTATTTTTTTCTGATTTCTTAAAGTAGCTGCATCTGAACCAAGCCTTCCGTATCTCTGTGTCACGGCCTGATCCTTCTCTGCAATGTAAGAAAAAGAACACTCCTATTGAGCCCCTGAATAGAAGCTCACTTAATATACAAATGTAATTGGTATGTATCAGACAGAGAAATGTAGACTTGTTCCATGTCAAAAGTTTTTGTTTTGTCGTGCATTTAAAGCTAAAGGGAGCTTATTTATACACAAAATAACAGCTATTGTAATTTGGTATTAGCCCTGATTCATAATCCTCTGACAAGACAAAATTAGGACCATTGCTATGTCCCCATCCCCAATCATACTCATGCTCCAGGAGTGAACTTATGAAATTTTGAAGATGTATGTTGAACAAATAGAACAGGGTAAAAGTACACATCTAACAACAGCTTCCTCAAACATTTATTTATTTATTTATTTATTTATTTATTTATTTATTTATTATTTATTTATTTTATTTTATTTTATTTATTTATTTATTTTATTTATTTTATTTATTTATTTATTTGATTTGCCAATTGTTTACAAGATAATAAGTATAAGTGTATACATAGTTGTGAATACATGATATGGGTACATATAAGAAAAATAAAAGAATAAGAGAAACAATAGGACAGGGACGGTAGGCACGTTGGTGCGCTTATGCACACCCCCTACAGACCTCTTAGGAAGGGGGTGAGGTCAATAGTAGACAGTCTAAGGTTAAAGTTTTTGGGGTTTGGGGAAGAAACTACAGAGTCGGGTAGAGGATTCCAGACATTGACCACTCTATTGCTGAGGTCGTATTTCCTGCAATCAAGTTTGGTGCGGTTAACTTTGAGTTTGTATCTATTGTGTGCTCTTGTGTTGTTATGGTTGAAGCTGAAGTATTCATTGACAGGTAGGACATTGCAATGTATGATTTTATATACCATGCTTAAATCAGACCGAAGACGGCGTAATTCAAGGTTTTCTAGTTCTAGAATTTCAAGTCTGGTGGCATAAGGTATTCTACAACGAGTAGAGGAGTGGAGAACTCTTCTTGTGAAATATTTCTGGACTTTCTCAATTGTGCTAATATCAGATACGTAATGTGGGTTCCAGACTGATGAACTGTATTCGAGTATTGGTCTGGCAAATGTTTTGTATGCTCTGGTTAGTAGTGTGATATTACCAGAGAAAAAGCTACGTAGGATTAGGTTAACAACTCTTAATGCCTTTTTGGCTATGTAGTTGCAGTGGGCTCTAGCACTTAGATCATTAGAGGTGAGTATTCCAAGGTCCTTTACAGAGCTTGGGTCATCAACAAGATCTTGACTATTCAGCTTGTATTTTATTTTCTGATTTTTTTTGCCAATATGTAAGACAGAGCATTTATTTGTTGAGATTTGAAGTTGCCATTTGTTTGACCATTCAGATACATAGTCAAGATCTTTTTGTAGGGTAGCAGTATTGTCTGTGGTATTGAACAGCTTTACATCATCAGCGAAAAGAACGCAATTGCTCTTAATATGATCACAGAGGTCATTTATGTAGAGTATGAAGAGAGTTGGTCCTAGAACACTGCCTTGGGGGACACCACTATTGACAGGTACAGAATTTGATAGGACGCTCCCAATTTTGACCATTTGTTGTCTGTTTGCCAGGAATGCTTCTATCCAGTTATGCAGTTGTCCAGAGATACCATAGGATTTTATTTTTAGGAGTAGTTTGTCGTGTACCACTGAATCAAAGGCTTTACAGAAGTCTATGTAGATTGTGTCTATTGCTTTGCCCTGGTCGAGTTGTGTCGTCCATATGTTTTTGCAGTGTAAGAGTTGCAGATTACAGGATAGTTTTTTTCTGAAACCAAATTGTTTATTGGAGAGTAGGTTGTTTGTCTCTAAGTGGAGGATGATGGATTGGTTAATAATTGATTCCATGACTTTACAGGTGACGCAGCATAAGGAGATTGGTCTGTAATTTTCAACTAGGCTTGGGTCTCCCTTTTTGAAGATGGGGATGACTGTGGCTTGTGACCATAGGTTAGGCAAGGAGCTGGTCCTGAAAGATTTTTCAAAGATTATGCTTAGAGGTTTGGCTATGGCAGTGGATAGCTTTTTTAAGAAGTAGGCACATATTCCATCCGGTCCAATAGATAGAGATGGTTTTAGATTGCGTAGTGCTTTTTCAACATTGTCTTCTGTAAAATCGATATGTATTAGATCATTGTGGTTATCTGTGGTACGGCTAGGAAATACTGGGCATGATCCATTGCTGTTTACAAATACTGAGCCGAAGAATGTGTTAAAGATGTTGGCTTTAATGGTGTCGTCATTGCAGTCTTTACCATCAGGTCCTATCAGGGGTGGGATGGACCTTGAATCTTTTAGTTTGTTGTTTACAAAATTGTAAAAAGCACGGGTGGAATTGGTGCTTAGAAGGTTTTCCTCTTGTTTAATGTGATAATTGGTGCATTCGGTCTTTATCTGGTGGCATAAATTTTTGTATCGGCTTTTGAAATTGGCAACGTGACCAGATTTGTTTTTCCGCCAGAGTTATCTCTTTTTGGATTGAAGTTTCCTTATTGTTATGGGTAATCTGCTTTTTTGTTTTGTTTTGGGAGTTGTTGGTACATATAGTTTGATGACTCTTTTGACTTCAAGTAAAAATATGTTGTAATGGTCTTCAACAGTATTGCATCCAGTGAATAGAGATTGCCAATCAAGGGATGAGAGATCGTTGTCTATAAGATTATAGTTGCCTTTTTTGAAGTTACAATTGGGGATTACATCATTGTGGTGATTTTTGTGTGGGTGTATGTTGAGACAAAAGTCAATCATATTGTGGTCACTGCTGGAAAAGGGTTCTTTAGTTTGTATTCCGTAAATTAAATTCAAACTATTGCAGAAGATGAGATCGAGGCAGTTGTTTAGTCTAGTGTTGTTGGTTACTAGTTGTTCCAGTCCCAGATTTGTAATAGCATTGTAGAAGGTTGTGTGTATGATTTCAGTTGTACAATCATTTAGAGTCCAGTCAATATGAGGTAGATTGAAATCACCAAGAAAGATAAAAGGGTATGGGCAGGATGCAGCCCATGTTAGTAATGTATTTAGCTTGTTTACATGTTCGATGTCATAATCAGGTGCTCTGTAACATAGTAAGAATCGAATTGTGATATTTAAGGATAGTTCACAGATGATGGTCTCAGGAAGAGCTCCTGGGTAACTTTGATATTTTTTAGATGTAAGGACTTTTTATAGAAGATAGCAACACCACCTCCTCTACGAATTTCACGATCTGATCGGTAAACATGATAGTCTCTTACTGTGGTAATGGAGTCAGGGAGAGATGCATTGAGCCATGTTTCACAGACAAATATAATGTCGAATTTAGCCATATTTAGTAGGAGGAAAAATTCAGGTATTTTATTCACGAGGCTTCTTGCATTAAGTAGTTTGCATTTAAGGCCAGCAGTAGTTGGAATTGAGGTAGTTAGGGGCATGCATGCCTAGTCTTGGGTGATGGTGGATCGGTTGAGGTAGGATTGTGGTTGAGGGTTAAAGCTGAGTTGCGGGTTGTGTGGCTTACTTTTGATACAGTCAGCATGGTAGTCAATGTACAGGTCCTTCTCTCCATTGTCTAGACGTTTTTTGAGTTCAGTGCGGAGTACACGGGAGCTGGCACGTTGCTGTATGGTTAGGTCAGGGCGACAACGGAGGTTCTTATGGTTGGTGTTGGTTTTGGCGAGTGAATTTATAGTGTAAATGAATTTACGTTTGCTTGATTCATTTTTGCAAATGACTGCACAAGCGTGGGGCCACAGAGCCGTCTCTGTTTTTGAGCTCTCGGCCAATGCGGGAAATGTCAAGTATTTCATCAGCGGAGATGGTTGATGCAAACAACAGCTTCCTCAAACATTCTGGATTCTTAACTATGGTTATTAGAAGAGCAGTTTAGTAAGATATCTGATTTAACTAGCAATGACAAAAATGGATATGTTTAAATATGATGTAATGAAACCTTATGTTTGAAGCAATTAGACCACTGATTTAATATTATCATTATGCTTACCTTTTTGCTTGCTAATACGTCTTCCTCTTCTAGGACCCTTCAACCCTGCATATTTCCTCTGCATCATATCCTCAATCACCTTCAGTGATAACAATAAAGAAAAAGATAATCTGACACAATTTTCTTTAAATGTATCTTATTTGTGGAGAAACTGTAAAAGAAAATATTATCTATTCTGTAATTCCCATTTATCTGAATAGTTAAAATATTGCATCTCCTCCATCAAAAGTAATGGAATTTTAAAGTGCTTGCCTTTCCTAGAATCATGTTCTTCATTTTCAGTTGCTCTATAAATTTTCATTTACTTAAAAGAAATCCAAATCTCTATATTGCTAACAATGTTCAACCTGATAAATAATTCATTCATGTGGAACAAGAATGATTTAACTATGGTGTGAAGAATAGCAATACATTATACAACTAATAATCACCAATACTCTTCCCCAAAACTGATAAATATTATTGTGTTTTTGTGCTATGTACATTTGTGCATAATTTCAAGCTGAAAAGCTTTCATTATTTAAACTGTTCATGCAGCTGCATCAGCTTGGTATGTGCTTTTTATTTTCTGCACCTATTCAGCTATATGTGTATTTATATTTAGAAAGAAAAAAAACTGCATTGTTTTTCACCTTGTCATCAAAAAGGCTAAGCAAGGTATTTGACAATTCCTAAATCGCTTAAAATTAGATCAGAAAAACATTCTGGAATTCTACAGGTTAAAAATGCTGCAATGTATCTTTACTTACCACACCGCTACTGTCATATCTTCTCAGTCCCAATTCTAACTGAGATATTTTTTTATTCACATTTTGTATATTGCCAATGACATACACTAACAATTTTGTTAAGGGTTTTTTCCCCCAAAAGTCTGTAGAGACACTATACAAATGTTGCTGTTATTTCTGTCTCTTTTTCCTTTACTTTAATATTGCTTTTTAAATGTGATATGCATTGTTTTATTTGGGAAGCCAGGTTAGTGTAGTGGTTAAGGCACCAGGCTAGACATCAATATCTGTCACAATTAAAACAGAATCTAGTTTGTTTGTTTGCAGTTATTTGCATTTTTCATAAGAAATCCTTAATTTAGAGATCCAATTCAAATCTCTTCTAAAATAAATTGAGCGGGGACTTGGTCCAATAACAATTTGTATCACAAAAGCATCTTTCTGCTAAATGGAAATATACATGTGTATATAGAGAAATATTTTCATGCAAACTTCATGTTGTTTGTAATTAGTGAAAAAAAGGAAAAAGGATACAGCGTGGAAGGTCATCCAAATTGCAACTCAAGGTTTTGCTTCTCTCTTCTTGGGTTGAGGATGGCAAAATCAAGAACCCACTTAGGGGGCTTAAAAATGCTTTAGTATGTATTAAATCCATCCTGCAGAAAACAACATTAAAAAGGGGAAGGAAAGCATATTTTCACTTGAAACACACTTTTATTCAGTCACTTTACTCTCAATCATTCTTGAAGTTAACAAATTATCATCACCTTGTGTTGCAATGTAGAAACAAAAGAAGTCACTTACATAGGAAACTGTATTGAAAACATGTTGAAAGTCCTTTTTTACAATAGCTTGGGCCCTATTAAAGTATATGGGTTGCTGAGGTATATCAGTGAAGTATTTTGCAGATGGGATTATTTATTTTTTATAGGAGTTAGAAGCTGGCTGGATAGAGTCCAAGAATAAGACCATGGTGACACCTTGTGATATCACCTGGGAAGAATCTGCAGAAGTTGGGGAAGTGGCCAGAGTAGAAAACAGTTGCATTAACAATCAGGGAGGGAAGCGAAGATTGAATTGGGACTATCATGAATGCAAAGTGGGAGGTAGGGCAAGGCGGACAAGAGATTGGGGACTTTGAAGTGGGCTCCAATATAATCCTCTTCCAAGAAAGTGAACTTGGATTTAGCTATATTGGTTTCAATTTCCAAGCTGAATTTATTAATTTAAAACATTTATATAGGAAAATAGGGCATTGTGGAGAAAATATATAAATTTACGTGATGATATAAATATACATGATGATATAAATATATAAACAGCAGTAACTGTGAGAGGGATCTTGGAGTCTTAGTGGACAACCAGCTCAATATGAGCCAGCAGTGTGCAGCAGCAGCCAAAAAAGCTAATGCAATCCTAAATTGCATTAACAGAGGGATACAATCGAGATCAAAGGAGGTGCTAATACCACTCTATAAAGCCTCAGTAAGACCACACCTAGAGTTCTGCATCCAGTTTTGTTCACATTATAAAAAAGATGTTGAGACTTTAGAAAAAGTACAGAGAAGAGCAACCAGGATGATTAGGGGACTGGAGGCTAAAACATACAATGAACAGTTACAGGAACTGGGCTTGGCTAGTCTAGTGAAGAGAAGGACCAGGGGAGACATGATAGCAGTCTTCCAATATTTGAGGGGCTGCCACAGAGAGGAAGGGGTCAAGCTATTTTCTAAAGCACCTGTTGGCCAGACAAGGAATAATGTATGGCAACTGAACAAGGAGAGATTTAACCTGGAAATAAGGGAAAACTTTCTGACAGTGAGAACAATCAACCAATGGAACAGCTTGCCCTCAGAAGTTGTGGGAGACATTCAAGAAGAGATTGGACTGCCATTTGTCAGAAATGGTGTAGGTCTCCCGCTTGGGCAGGGGGTTGGACTAGATCAGGGGTCTCCAACGTTGGCAACTTTAAGCCTGGAGGACATCAACTCCCAGAATTCCCCAGCCAGCAAAGCCAGGATTAAAATTGGCAAGGTTGGAGACCCCAGGACTAGATGACCTACAAGGTCCCTTCCAACTCTGATTATCTGTTATCTGTTAAATCACAGTGGAAATGAAGTCCATTGCCTTACATCTGGGCATGCTAAATAAAAAGGTCACATTGGAAATAATGAAGGACTATTCTGTACTGTTCCGAACTGTAGGATTCAAAATAATGGATGGATTTGCGTTACTGGAGCGTAGATTCCGACTGATTATTTAAAAAAAAAAAAACCGCTTCCTAACAATGGCAGGAATTCTACAGTGGAACAAAGTATCGCGCTCCTTTCCCTGCCTAGATCTGTCCAAGAGCAAACTGGACGGGCTGAGACTCTTAATTCGGTACATGGGAACTACAACTTGTCGAGCATTGTCCGCTGAGGAACAGCACACCGCATCCAGACTCCCAGCCATTGTTCAGTTTGGGGACGGCTATTATGGGGATAAAAAAAGCTCACTTTCCTGACACAGACCAAGGCTCGAATCAGGCCACGGACCGCCCTCCCCCGGAAGCTTGGCGTCCTTCTGTTGCCACAACAACCAGCGGAAGAAACTATTCCCTTAGTCTACCTTTATACCAGACTAAAGGAGAGCCTAGCACTTTTTCGCCATTAATGGAAAATGTAATAAATTGGGAATAATTTACTTGAAAACACATCTTCCGAACAACAGCATTAAAATATCTGTATTAAAATTATTATTTTTCTTTCTTCCTCCCCCGGATTACAACGGTGGTACGATCCTATCCCGGTTGCTGCTGTTCACTCTTCACATAGCTTGGGTCGCTACCATCACACGAGGAGGGGGCTGTATCTTCTGATACGGGTTATAACTTCGCAAGCCTTCTACTCATACGTCCCTCTTACTCCTGTTAAGAGATTCGGTTACGCGCTCTTAGTTTATCTACGTTCAGTTTGCATGAATGTATATCAAAGCTGATTTTCGCAATTGTGCAATTAAAAATAATCTCCCCTCCCCTTGTGCTGCCCCAGCTATCCTGCGCGATCGTCCCTGGGCTACCGCGGGTTGCAAGGCTTCAAACATCGGTTAAGGCTACGCCTGCGCAGATTGGTTTCGAAGGTTGGGACTGTTGTATGTTCGGGGAGCGTGACCATGGTGTGAAAGTTCCCTAAATTAGGTCTGAAGCGCTAGGTATGAGATGCGGGGCGGCTTCAAGAAAATACCGCTCCTTGTCATGGAGCTCTTTTAAAGGTGGGGTTAACTTGGATTCTGCATTTCTAAGCACAGGAGGTCCGGAATATCGGGTTCTCCAAAAATCCTCCAGTGGGGTATTGCTTGGAGCAGAGGCGGTAATAAGGCTCCTGGGTCGCTTGAGATGCATTCAAATTGCCACCCGCTACCTTGAGGAGACGGTCGGTACTCAGCGATACATCAGATGAAATTCAGCCGAGCTGCCTCTATTGTACATATACTCACATGTTGCATGTGGTTAAAAGCAGTGTTTATGGTTGCCTTTTGGCCGAACCTGGTACCTTCTGGCGATCATGTAGGCTACTATATAGGCAATGGTAGCAGGGAATTTATAGTCCAGTTGAGGTCAAAAAGTTGTCTGCCTCCCAACTCTTGTGGGCAGTGATTGATCTATGCGTTTTTCAATGAAATGATAATCTTTGTGGGATATTTTTTTCCCCCCAAAGATAAGAGGAATTTAGAAAGATGCCACTTTTTGGAAACACATTCAGTCCAAAGAAAACTCCGCCCAGAAAATCAGCCTCACTTTCCAACCTCCATTCGGTAAGTTCTAGAAGAAAGTGAAGATCCTTATGCTATCTTTTTCATCAGACTAGGAGACTCTTTAAGCCACATTGGCATATAAAATATTCACAGTTTGTTACTTGTTGAATTCTTCTTGTGATGTTATACGCCTTTACCCATTTTTATTTAAATGATAAAATATTCTTTTAACAATAAATAACCAACTGTAAACTGAATATAAAAACACAAAATTGTTGGCTACACCAGTAAACCACATAATATTTCTATTTTGAAAGTAAAATGTATTTGGTCGTCTATCTCCCTTTGAGGAAAGAACTATTAATAAAAATAATAAAAAGTTTTCTTGTGTTGTGTGCAAAAGAAGAGATTTAAAGCAGTTCTCGAGCTCTAATGAAATCTTTATTCTGTTTTGTAACATAGTAGAGAAGAAAGTGGGGTTTACATCTTAGCATCAGCCTAGCCCATCTCATTATTGTTTTTGTTTTGAACTTTTTATGGTTTACATTTCCCAGTCTCAGGAGAGGAACTGGTTTCAGAAGAGGTTGAAAAAGAAATTTCATATTGGAGGTTTCCTGATCTTGATGGTGGGAATCCAACATATTCTGCAATGACTGGACACTAAAGCAATAGAATTGCATCCATATTTCCCTAAAATGATGCATCAGTGTGAGGATGCGAAACAACTTCCCATGCATATTTAAATAAAATATATACTTTTTATGCGGTAGAATAAATGGATTTGACATATTTTGTACAGGTTTGCCTTATGCTAAGAAAATAAATAGAAATTAAGTAAAATATTGGGAAAATACTGAAGTGATTTTTCTGTTTTACAGCTGGACAGATCTACCCGTGAAATTGAGCTGGGCTTAGAATATGGAACTCCTGTTATGACACTTACAGGACAGAGTCTGAGGTTTGAGAATGGCCAATGGATACCTGGTAAGAGAGAAAGAGAAATTATCTTAGCGACTGCAGAATTCTGCAGAGTATCAGAGATATAGCTCTAGAGATAGTCCTTGACTTACCACAGTTGCTTAGCAACCATTCAAAGTTATAACACATCCTGAAAAACTACTTTCAGCCCATTCTGAAGTTCCAGCATCTGTGCTTCTGTGATCTCATTTTGGAAACTCGGTAACCGGCCTGCATTGACAACCATTTGCAGCACCTTGTGGTCACAGGATCATAATTTATAATGTTTCTATAGAAAATTAGTGTTTACTTTCGGTTTCAGGCAGAAAATCTCCCATAGCAAAAAAAATGATTTATTTAAGCGTTTGCTTTATGACTGCAGCATTTGCTGTATTACTGCAGCATTCACTTAACAACTGATGCAAAAAAGGTCATAAAATTGGGTGCAGTCACATAATGACTTGCTTTACAACAGTCTCGATGTGGACTCAATTATGATTGTAATTTGAGGACTACCTGTAATCCCGCAGTATATATCCAGGATCCTATGTCTAATATTCTAGTGCTTAAGGATGAGGTATTTAAATCCTGATTCCTTCCAAAAGGGAGCATAATCAATCAGCCTGATGTGCTTCCTGCTATCAACTTTCTTTTGATGTTCTTTTGCAAAAACTAATGGTTGTTATTGTGTTGGGTGTGCAAATAGTAAGATTTATTTATTGAATTTATATTGCTGCCTATTTGTCCATGGCAACTCAAGGCAGCTTACAGAATATAAAGCCACATTTAAAACAATAAAAACTAACAAAAAGAATCAAATAAATTAATATAATACAATATAACAAAATCACCCTTCAAATCCACCCCCCTGCCCCAGCAACAGCAGATCACACGAGCCATTTAATGGGCTCCATCCCTCTCTGGGTTCCCCAGGCCTGCTGGCAGCAGGTCTTCAGCACCTTC